AGCGATTCTCGAGTTTTATAAAACGATTTCTCGAGTTTTATAAAACGATTCTCGAGTTTTATAAAACGATTCTCGAGCTTTATAAAACGATTCTCGAGCTTTATAAAACGATTTCTCGAGTTTTATAAAACTGTTCATTTTGTATTCTTGCGGGGAATTTTGGCTATTGATTCCGTCGTACCGATTTTGACCCCAACAAGTCTACAGTCAACCAACAGCAAACAACTTCTTCGTAATGAGACTACATGTTACGGTTTGGCTTTCGAAAATTTGGATTAATTTTAATCTAAATTAGATTTTGATCCGTATTTTGAAACACACTAGATAATTTTTCAAGAGAAAATTATATAATCACATTTTCTCTTTATTTAAATTATGCATGGACATAAAATTTAAAATCCAAAGTCTAAACCAAACCCAAAAAAATAAAATTGATCCATACCATGTCCAAAATGTAAGAAGTACCTAAACTGGTCTTGTAGAGTTATAGAAAAACATATTTGAACCCAAATTATATTAGCGGAACCCGAATATGTAACCTACAAAAATCAAGAAACTGATTTTGATTGTCCAAATTAATTATAAATATAAGTATTTGAAACATAAATATGTATTTCATATATTGAGTTATGTATTTATAATTAAATGAAATCTAAAAATAAATATTTAAATTTTGAATGAGTAATTTAAAGATCCAATTTCATATAAATAAGTATTCATTCTTATGTTTTGCTTTAAAACTTTGTATATAACTTCAGACATATCCGAACACCCGAATTTAAACGATATATGGTTATTATATGGGTTTTAGGATATGATATAAATTAGAATCAAAATCAATGTTTTATATCTAGCATGATCGGTGCTTACAAATTTACCAGAATGAGACATAGGATGTAATATAAATTACAATCGATATTCAAAATACTCAATATGTATCCCAATGAGTACATAAACGCCCAAACCTAACTTAAAGTACGTTTTATGTTTTGTTCATTTAGTTTCATATTTGAAAAATATTTTACATATTTTAGATAGTAACATGTTTCATCGTATCATTAACTAATATTGTTTTATCAAATATATATATATATATATATATATATATATATAACTTTAATACTCTATTTATAAGAATTATCATGTATTTGGTATTTTTTTTGCATTTGAATTAAAGCATTGTTGTATATATAACAATAGATACGACTTAGTAGGAACATATAATGTTTTATTAATAAATTTAATTGATTGGTTACTTAAATTTAGTGTTAATAAAGATTGAATTTTTTTTTTTTTTTAAAAAGCAATAGCTTAGTTATCTAGTTCTTTAATTTTAGGCTACACATATGTTTAATAATAATCAAGTTAGATATAAATAGAAATGATAAAAAAAATCTAGTAAATGTATTGGTCTAACCTACATTATCACTAGGCAAATAAAATTATTTTAGTTTAAAGATTATTGATATATTTTAATATATTAGTTTTTTATTTTAAATATAAATGAATACTTTGTAAAAAATATAACAAAATATTTTTAAAAATGTATTTTTAAAGTGAATACTATTATTTTTGAAATGATTTTAGACGTTCGAACTCTCACGTTAAAAGTTTGAATGAATAATATTTTATACCCTTAATGAATGAATTATATAAATTCACCAGAAAATAAAAACAAATTTAACATTTCCTATTAGATAAATTATTAAAATTAATAATAATAATAATTTTTCATAGTAAAAGAAATATATAATTCCTCTATATATATTATGTTTTCATTCGAAAGTATATTTTAATAAAAAATAAAAGTCAAAACAGAAAACACATATAAATAAATATTAGTTAAGTAAAATTCTTAATTTTATATGATTGAAAAGAGAATATTGAAAATTTCATATTACGTAACAATATTCAAATTAGAAAACTATAATAATAATTAAAACTTTTATTTACGAAATGATTTTCCGAAGTGATTTTTTTTTGCATCAGAGAGCTCTAACGTTAAAAGAATATTGAGAAATTTATATTATATAATAACTTTCAAATTAAAAGATTATAACAATAAAGTAAAAATTTATACTATTATTTGAAAAATGATTTTTTCGCATCTGAGATTTCACGTTAAGTTAAATTTATTTTTATATTTTGTATAGTTAATCATTAGAATTAATTATAATAAAAATAAAATAAAATCATTCAAAAAGAAAAAACGTGCTTTCCAAAAAAAATTCAAATATATCGTATTATAATCCAAAATAATATTATTCTTTTGCAAATATTTATTTTTGAATGTATATTTTTTGATTAAATTTTTCAAATAGATAAAAAAATTGCTATAATTTTTGATTAAAAAGAAATGAAATATAATTTATATTTTTTAAAGTTTTAATGGTAATTTTTTTTTTAATTGGTGAAAAAGATTTTATATAAAAATTGTTTGATGTTTGTTTTTGACTTTTTTATACAGATAATCATTTCTTTTGATGATTTTATTAAATTGATTTTTAGATAATCAAGTCCTCATATACGGTCAAAACACCTAATTTAAATTGTAATTATCAGTAAAATATAATTACAATATTTTATATATTTTTTAAATTATAACTTTCAAATTAAAAAATTATAACAATAAATTAATAATTTATACTATTATTTTCAAATGATTTTTTGTGAAATGATTTTTTCGTATCCGAGCTTTCACGTTAATTTAAATTTATTTTTCTATTTTGTATAGTTAATCATTATAATTAATTATAATAAAAATAAAAGATTATTTATTTTGAAAAAAACTTTAAAGAATTAATTAAATAGTTTTTTTCAATTTGTAAAAACAAAATTTCATATAAAAATGGTTTAATGTTTTTTGGTTGACTTTTTATACAGATAATCATTTATTTTGATGTTTTTAACAAAATTGATTTGTAGATAATTAACCTCTCATTTACGGGCAAAACTTGGTGTTTAAATTGTAATATTTTTTAAATTAAAAATTTCAAAGATTATAACAATAAAGTAATAATTTATACTATTATTTGCAAAAAAAAATTCCGCATCCGAGCTTTCATGTTAATTTAAGTTTATTTTTATATTTTGTATAGTTGATCATTAGAATTAATTATGATAAAAATAAAAAAGTTTATTTATTCTGAAAAAAAACTTTAAAGAATTAATTAAATAGTTTTTTTCAATTTTTGAAAAACAATTTCATATAAAAATAGTTTAATGTTTTTTGCACTTTTTTATACTGATAATCATTTATTTTGATGATTTTTTAAAATTTATTTGTAGAGTATTAAGTCTTCATGTACGGGCAAAACACCTAATTTAAATTGTAATTATCAGTAAAATATAATTACAATACTTATATATTTTATTAAATTAAAAATTTCAAATAAAATATTGTAACAATAATTTAATAATATAATTACGATATTTTTTAATTTTCTTTTCAGAATCAATTAATCTAAATTATCATTATCGTTTAAAATATATATTGGACGCGTGGATGGCCCATTAGTCGTGGACGGTGAGGGCGTTACAAGTGGATCAGAGCTGGTTAGCCATCTCAATTCTGACTTGAGATGCGTCTTGAGACCTGTCGTGGAACGCAACAGAGATGTTGCGTTCTTTGAAAGGGGCAACTTTTCTAAGAATTTTAAGAAGGAAGTTGTTAATTTTTATTCAAATAAAAGATTAGATATTAAAAGATATTATAATTAAATTTATGTATAATTTGATAAACTTTCTAATGGATAATGTAAATAAATAATCACACATACAAGTGATTTAATAGATTAGATAGTTGGCTGGACGTTATTGACTATGAGGGATTTATTCTTGTTGTTTACTCTGGATCTCTATCTACTGATGTATCTTTTTCTATATTTATTTTGCTAGTTTTCATTATTTAGAATTCTTTTCCTACGATGTTTAATAATACAATCTACCGTTAGAAAAAAACTTGCGGATCCTAATTCATTTTTCTTTAAACAATTTTGTAATCATAAAATAAGAAGGCGATCTCCATCACCTCTTACGTTTTCTTGGTTTAGTATTCTTCTGTCAAGTAAAGTAAGCACCTAAATGATCCGCAACATGTATTCTAAATATCTCTGCCACCACACCATGGACCCGTCACACATGGCGCCATCGGTATACATCCAACCAAAACGCCATAATCATGAGTATTTCACGTTGGTAATTAAATAAAAGTTAGGCACAGTTCAAGCTAATCTTATCTTTTGTTAATTAATATACAAAGCAACGACATCTCTCACCTCCTAAATATCACAGAAACATTAATTAATATCCTCCGATCTTTTTTCTCTATCTCCAATGGCAACAGAAACCGTAACGAACCATGCCGAGACCGAGACAGAGCCAACTGAGTTCAAGAAGAATCAGAAACGGTACCAAGACTTGATCTCCACGTTTCCTCACGTGGAAGGCTGGAGGCCAAAAGAGCCCCTGATTGAGTACGGTGGTCACTGGTGGACACAAAATCTCCTTGAAGGTTCTCTTTACACACGAGAGTTCTACCAAGCTCGACCTGGCGACTTTTTCGTCTGTAGCTACCCAAAGACAGGTACCACTTGGCTTAAGTCATTAACATTCGCAATAGCTAACCGGTCTCGCTTGGACGACTCCACAAACCCTATCCTCAAAAGAAACACTCATGAGCTTATTCCTTTCCTCGAGATGCAGTTCCCTTTTTATCCTCACACTGATGTTATCAAAGATAAAGGGAACACTCTTTTTGCAACTCATTTGCCACATGAGTTATTACCCGATTCAGTTGTGAAGTCGGGTTGTAAGATGGTTTACATCTGGAGAGACCCAAAGGACACTTTCATCTCCTTGTGGCATTTCTTCCAGAAGGAAAGGTTAGAAAGTGGGGTGTTCAAGCTCAAGGGTATTGAGGAGTGTTTTGATATGTTCTGTAAAGGTTTATCTGTGTACGGTTCTTTTCTTGATCACGTCTTGGGATATTGGAAAGCTCACCAAGAGAATCCAGATCAGATTTTGTTCCTTAAGTACGAGACTTTGAGTTCTGATCCTTTGCCTCATGTGAAGAGATTAGCTGAGTTCATGGGTTATGGATTCACAGCTGAGGAAGAGAAGAATGGGGTTGTTGAGAAAGTTGTGAACCTTTGCAGCTTCGAGACATTGAAGAATCTTGAAGCTAACAAAGGAGATAAAGATAGAGAAGATTATCCTTCTCCTTTTCCAAATAGCGCGTATTTTAGGAAAGGAAAGACCGGAGACTGGGAAAATTATCTGACTCCAGACATGGCAGCTCGTGTGGATGGGTTAATGGAAGAGAAATTCAAGGGTACTGGTTTGCTTGAAAATGGTAAATGATCAGCTGATCCTTGTATAAAGCATATGTTTGCTTCTTTCGTCGCTTTGATCTTATACATACTTACGTTGTATATATATTAGAATAAAACATGTTTCTGTTTCATGAAGGTCACATTTATCTGAATATTAGTCCAAAGTTTTTAATAAAGCACCTGAGTTTGGTAGGTTTTGGCTTGCGTCTGTTGGCAGGCAAGTCTATCGCTAGTTTGTTTGTTCATTGGTTACCAAATCATCTAACACTATTAAAAGGGCAATAAGAATTCGTCTTAGATATGCCACCTAAACAAAAATAATTAGCCAATAATATTATAACAATCCTCTATGTCATTCGGTTTAGTTTGCTCAGCTGGAGATCCGATTTGGTTTTAGTTCATTTTTCTAATTTGGTTTCGGTTCGTTTTTCTAATTTGATTACTGATTTACTAGGTGTTCTCCTGCACATGAAAAAAATTAAAGTATTTTTTAACTGATACAATATAAATTATGTTTAAAATTAAAATTTTATTAATTTTATAAATTTTCTTTTTCTTATCACTATTTTAATACAAAATTTTGTTTAACTAAACATAAAAAGTAATATAAAAATATTTTTGTTTATTTTAAATTATATTTAAGAATATGCATGTATATATTTACAATTATAATCTTAGATAGATTTTTTATCAATTTATTTTAATTAAATATATTAAATACATTGTATAAATTTTATAATTATCAAAAATTAAAATTAGACAATATTTATTAAATTTGTAAATATATAAGAAATTAATAATTTTGCATTTAAATTTTAATAATTTTCAAAAGGGTATACATTTTTACATTTTTTTAATAAAATTGTATAATTTTAAAATATATAATTAAATGATATTTTCGAATTTTTAATGCCATATTGGAATATATTTATTTTAATGATGATTTATGAGTTATTACCATATTTTAAAAATATTTTCAAAAATATAAATCGACATTAAATGTAATATATGAGCTGTTACCATATTCTATAAGGTTTTCCAAAAATATATGTTAACATTAAATGCAATTGTCCATGTCATATTTAATCATATGCCATGTCATTAATTCTAGTAGACATGTCACCATTTTTTTGTGAAACTGATTCTAGAGAGGACATATGACAAAATCACTTTGCAAATAATGTAAAAGGGATGATGGAGACCGAGAAAACTACATCTTTCTTCTATTTCTCTTACCTTTTGATTTTCTGATCTTCCTTTATTCTTTTTTTTTTCTGTTTCTATGATTAGTTTCACCATTATCTCCTCTAATCAATCTTCCGCTTTAACTCATTCAAAAACTCATTCAATGGATTCTTTTCACTTCCCTCTTCATTTATGTATTTATAGATCTCTTTCCCTAGCTTACCTCTTGATCACATTTTCAATTCTTTTAGCTTCCTCCTTCCAGCGTAAACATTATCGAACACACAAATAAATATCTTATATCTAAATAGTAACAATTGATATCAGGTTTACATGCTACCTACCTTAAAATATATATTATTTTGTTATAATAAAATAAGAAAAATTACGTACAAAATAAACTATATATTTGACAAAATAAAAGAAAGTATATATAAAACAAAATTAAATTCTATAGTATATAACTTACAGAAACAATGATAAAATAAATTGTAAAAAGTGTTATAAAAATAGTGAAACAAATGTCAGATATAACTAAAAATAATTTTTTTTAACATTACATTGAAGTGGTTTTAAGGGTAAATAAGTATATGTTTAAGAGTATTGTGAACACAAAATATAGGGTTAGTTTATTTAATTAAATGTGAAATTTTTACAAAATACTAAAACAAAAAACTCAAGCATAATTTAAAACAAAAATGAAAATAAAATATTTATACTTGCATAGTCCAAACAAAGACAATGTAAAATAACCTGATAAAAAATAAGTAACAAAAATAAAATTAGATAACTTATACTAAAACAAACATATTAAAATATCTATATAAAATTTAAATGACAACTTTAAGTAGTAGATAAAAACCAATCCCTAAATTAATAGATTAGACTAGATGATACCCGAACGCATGCGCGGGGTGAGTTTTTTTATATAAATGTTTATTTTGTTTTAACATTTTGTAACACTATAATCTTTATTGATTGTAAAATGACGAATACAAATTCTCTTAAATATATCATATGTCTGGTCGTTTGGAGGTCCGTCGGTTTCGGTTCAATTAATTTGGATTTTCAAATTTTTGGTATTATGCTTATCAGTTTCATTCGGGTTTTATTAATTATCGTATCGAATTCAGTTTGATTCTTTCTGGATGTGGTTTGGATCAGATTGTAACCAAAATCTGAAATCGTCCCAAAAAAGAATTTTGAAACTTCAAAATTGAAAAAAATATCAAAATATTTATATTATTCGTAAATATAATTTAGACTTAGTTAAACTATCTAAATTAACTAAAGGATATTCAAAATAAAAAAGATATATATATATATATATATATATATATACAAAAATCTTCCGAATACAATAAAACATCTAAATTACTTTGACATATAAGAAAATTAACATATTATACTAATTTCAGATATCTTCGGACCTAGTTCGGAATTCGGTTTGGTTTGAATTATAACCAAATTCCAAAGTACTAAGATAATAATAAGCTTGTTCAGATAAATTATAATAGCTAAATTGAGTATTATAGAGAAACAAATATTAGATGAATGATCTAATCTCTCATGTTAGAATCTTATCATGACATTTCATTACAAAAATTAGAAATAAATATCAAAACTAAATTATTTAATTTGGATGAAATAATATATGAATATATAGTGCTTCCAACGTTAAAAATCACTACGATTTGAAGAAGTGTAGTTCTTGGATTGTCAAGATCAAATAACATATTAGAAACTAACTTTTTTAAAAATTAATCTGTATACATAAAAGTATATACATAAAAGTAAACACATAATCAAAACTAATACATTTTGTTAATTTACAATCTTGTATTTCGTAAATAAATCAAAACAACCATTTATTTACTTTATATGATATAAATTAAATGTTATTGATATTGACATATATTTATAGTATATTTTAAATTTTATTTATTATTGACAATTTATACTCATATAATTTTATCAAAAAATTTATATTTTTTTCTAACAAAAATTTGAATAAATCATAAAAAATTAATGTGAGATTTTTTCAATACGAAGTTTAAAATTAAAATATTAAGATATCCATAATTTTCACTGCAAATTTTGAAATTAACATATTTATTTATTTTATTTAGTAAATAATTTAGTTTAAATGATATATATATATATATATATATAATATGAATATTTATTATTAGATTTCCTATTCATACGATTTATAATCATTTGTATCTTGGTTGAACAAAAAAAGTTAAACATTGATCAAAGAATTTCAATGCAGAACTTTTACCATTTTTAGTAATTTGTAGTCGTTTTGAAAATTTTTAAATATAACATATCAGAAAAAATCTAATTTTTTATTTTATGGCTAATGTGATTGTTTAATTATTTTTAATAATATAAAATTAAAAAAAAAAAGAGAAAGAATACAAGAATTGTTATTGAATATGTCATAATCATTAATTGTCATAATATGTTAATAATATTAGGAAATTCAGTAGCTTTTATTTAAGGAAAGAAAGAATATTCTTTTGTATACTAATAATTAATTTGATAATCTACTCTATTAAAATAGAGTCATTCTTTTTATCTACTGATACAAGTTGTCATTTAAATTTGGACTCTTTCTAGAATGTTACAAATATGTAACACAAGGCATATAATTAATTGAACCATATTACTTAAATTAAACCGATGGTTATTTATGGGATATAGTCTTGGGCTTACTTTTGTTTTTAGAACAAATTATATAGTTTTGTTTTTGGGCATAGTATTAAAGAAAAACTCCAAAAAACATTGAATAAACTTTCCAACTTAATAGATAAAAAAATTAATTATTTTTTTAGGCCCAAAAAGTATTTAATATTTTTAACAAAACAAAATTGTCTATTACTACTCATTTATTTAAATCATGTACATTAAAACATGTTAATGTATTTTTTTTATTTTAAATAACAATCCTTTTTTTTGATAAATTTCAATGGTATTTTAAATAATTTATTGTTTTATTTTTCTTAAATAATTTACTGATTTAAAAAATGTAAAGCAAAACCAAAAACCAAATCTAAAAACAAAAATCAAAACCAAAAGCTAAAAACACAAGTTATATTTTTTTTGCTTTTGTTTATTTACAAAATAAACTATTGCAAATTTTGTTTGTCATCTTTTCAGTTTAAAATTAGATGTTTGATTATTTAGGATTTGTCTGTTGGTAATATCAGTTCAAACTAATTCAACGGGTCTAAAAATTAAAAACACAAACCAAAAGCTGAAAATCAAAAGTAGAAACTTAAAAACTAAAAACCAAAAACCAAAATCTAAAAATAAAAACTGAAACTAAAAACTAATGAAAAACAATCATCATCACAAATTTTGGTGAACAGATTTTATACCAAAACATTCTTTAAATTAAGACAAAACCAAATTATATAAATTTTTAATCATAAAAAATTTCTGTGCTTTCAAGCGCGGGTCAAAATCTAGTCTTATATATTAAAACAGAAGTCATGACTTGATTTCATGTGTGATCTTTTATAAAATAGACTATTACTAGAAAATCATGTTACATTAACTCTCTAATAATCTTATCAATATTATATCTTATGAAAAATTATTTCTATAATAACAAATATGCGCTCGACAATTTGGTTTTGGTAAATTACCCCACACCTTCCAACTTAGTCACGCAAAATATGTCAATAGATATAAGTTTAGGAATCTTCTGTTATTTATAAGGAAATATGTCAATAATAATTAAATGCATCCACAATATATTAACAAAAATCACAGATTCGTAATATGGAATATTTATATACCCTAACAAAATTTACACGCTATATATATACTAGATAAATTTATTTCCATGTACATTTTTAAAATTATATTGTTTAAAAAAAAAGAAATTGTTTAAAAATTCTTTTTAATAAAATTCTTTATAATATTAATTTATGAAGCTATAAGTTTAGTTTTTAGCAAAAATTTCTTCGAAGTTTATATTATCTTTGCAAATTAAAGTATACTAATATTTAACCAAGCTCTATTTGTATTACTTTATCTAAAAATGAAATACTAATCAAACAAACAATAAAATATAGAAGAAGAAACCAACACATGTTTGAAAAACATGTATAATATAGAAAATTTGAAACAATCTATTTGATTAAAACATGTATTATATAATATTATTATGTTTGAAAAACATTTACTATACATATCGTAAATATGTGATTACTATAATATATACCAATTTACAAGTGAAAACAAAATGTTTATATAATTAACTATAAAAGAAAACAAACACACCCGCGGTTGCGCGGATCAAAATCTTGTTAGTTAATTAAAAAGTATAACATATAATTATATGGACCAACTGATTTTTTTAATTTTTTTAATGATTCTAAGAATTGTCTTGGTGATGATATGTGTCTTAAAAACATGTCGTAATGTTCCAGGATTAGTATAATGATCATAAACAAGAAGGCGATCTCCATCACCTCTTACGGTTTCTTGCTTTAGTCTTCTTCTGTCAAGTAAGCACCTAAATGATCCGCAACATGTATTCTAAATATCTCTGCCACCCACCATGGACCCATCAGACATGGCCCCATGAGATACATCCAACCAAGACGCCATAATCATGATTCACGTTGGTAAATAAAAGTTATGTAAACAGTTCAATGTAATCTTGTCTTTTTAACTTTAAAACAATTTTTCTCTAGGGAGCAAAAAAAAGTATCGTTCCTTCTACTGTATATATAAAAAGCAACGACATCTCTCATCTCCTAAATATCACAGAAACATTAAAGTCCTCCAATCATTTTCCTCTCATCTCCAATGGCAACAGAAACCATACCGAACCATGCCAAGACCGAGACAGAGCCAACTGAGTTCAAGAAGAATCAGAAACGGTACCAAGACCTGATCTCCACGTTTCCTCACGTGGAAGGATGGGTGACGAAAGAGCCCCTGATTGGGTACGGTGGTCACTGGTGGATACAGAATTTCCTTGAAGGTTCTCTTTACACACGAGAGTTCTACCAAGCTCGACCTTGCGACTTCTTCATCTGTAGCTACCCAAAGACAGGTACCACTTGGCTTAAATCACTAACATTCGCAATAGCTAACCGGTCTCGCTTCGAAGACGATTCCACAAACCCTATCCTCAAAAGTATCTCTCATGAGCTCGTTCCTTTCCTCGAGATTAAGTTCTCTTTTTACCCTCACATTGGTGTTATCAAAGATAAAGGGAACACTCTTTTTGCAACCCATTTGCCACATGAGTTATTACCCGAGTCGGTTGTGAAGTCGGGTTGTAAGATGGTCTACATCTGGAGAGACCCAAAGGATACTTTCATCTCCTTGTGGCATTTCATCCAGAAGAGAAGGTTCTTAGAAAGTAAGGGGGTTATCAAGAGTATTGAGGAGTGTTTTGATATGTTCTGTAAAGGTTTATCTGTGTACGGTTCTTATCTTGATCACGTCTTGGGATATTGGAAAGCTCACCAAGAGAATCCAGATCAGATTTTGTTCCTTAAGTACGAGACTTTGACTGCTGATCCTTTGCCTCATGTGAAGAGATTAGCTGAGTTCATGGGTTATGGATTCACAGCTGAGGAAGAGAAGAATGGGGTTGTTGAGAAAGTTGTGAACCTTTGCAGCTTCGAGACGTTGAAGAATCTTGAAGTTAACAAAGGAGATGGTAAAGAGAGAGAAAATCATCCTTCTCCTTTTCCAAATAGCGCGTATTACAGGAAAGGAAAGACCGGAGATTGGGGAAATTATCTGACTCCAGACATGGCAGCTCGTGTGGATGGGTTAATGCAAGAGAAATTCAAGGGTACTGGTTTGCTTGAAAATGGTAAATGCCTTGTTTAAAGAGCATATGTTTGCTTCTTTCGTCGCTTTGATCTTATATGTACTCTACGTTATATTTTGGATGAATAAAACATGTTTCTGTTTCATGAAGACAGTCACATCTGTCTGAATATCAGTCCAGAGTTTTTAATAAAGCACAGCACCTGAGCTTGGTAGGTTTTGGCTTGCGTCTGTTGGCGGGTGAGAGGTTTCTTCACCCTTTCTTCAAAAATAATTTATTATCATCAAAATGTTCAGATTTAGATTAGCTCCAAGAAAATAGAAAGCAACTTAGGTTGCAAATTTTTAATTTCAAAAACTAAACCGAGCCGGTTTGTTCATTGGTTACCAAATCATATTGATTAATGACTTAATTCCATTAGATTACATTAACCAAACAGATCTATTATATTGCAAATTTTTAATTTCAAAAATTAAATATAGAATCAAAAGATTAATCTGCATAAAGTATTAAAAACATTTTTGTAAAGAATATATACAAAAACTCTCATCCAATAAGCTCGGATTCCAAACTACTGATTTTATCGACAAATACCGTATGAGAACTATCAGACCAGACCTCATCTAATTTATTCATACACAACTTCATTGTATTGTTTCTTTTTATTAACGTTACATCCCAATATTTGTCGACTACACTTGTTGCTAATCTTACACTATCCAACGTGCTAGTAAAAACGATTGATGTTTCCTTTTATAGTATTTGCTTTAAACTCTTTGCAACTTCAAAGACACTAAACCTTTGGCTTTTTTTTTCTGAAAGATTCAAATCAAACACAAAGAAGAAAACAAGATGGAACTATGTGATACCTATCTCAGGCGCCCAATATCTATACACGATACCTTTGTATTTACCAGTCTCTATTTGCTATTTCAAGTACTCAGGGCCGATCCTGAGATTTTGGGGTCATGTAACGATTTCTATGTAAAATAATTTTTTGGGGGCCTAAAAAAATTTTTTTGGACCTATATTCATGTAATTTTTTTCAAAATGTTTAGGGACATGAGATGAATGTTTCACAGGCATTCCCCAGGGAAGCAGCCTGCTCTATGTTTTCTTTGCAGAATTGAACTCTTGCCTCTATTTAAACCGGTTGGTTTGTTGTCACTATTCTCTTCTGTTTGGGTGAAAAGAGTTGTGGCTTGTGAGATTGTTATCCTTGTGACCTCTTCAGAGTTTGTTGTAAGATCCATCTTGGGAGATGAAGCAAAAGAACTTGATCCACCTCCCCTATAAACAGCTCTAAAAAGGTTTTAAAAAATCATTTAGTAAGCAAACGTCTTTCTTGAGATTCTTTGGTCTTGTTACCTATTGCTGTTGCTGTCCTTGTAGTTGTGAGAATGTGTGAGGGATGCTTCATCAAGAAGTTCAGTTTTAGAATATTAGATATAAACTTTTGTATTTGAAACAATCGCAATGCTCTCGGAACGTTGTTTTGGTGATGATGATGATGACCCATCTTCTTCTTCTTCCTCTGAAGAGGTTGAGGTATTATTATCTGTTCTTGATTTTCTAACCATATTCATCACTCTTCCTAGTGTCCCTAATGCTTGCTTCAACACATTCTTCTTCCTCAATTTAATGAACATTTCCTCTGAGAGGCCGTGCAAGTTCACTTGCTTGGATATTTTCATCAGTGTTATCAGTAGAATACATAGCTTTACGTATAAGAGTGTACAATGGATCTTCTAAAACTCTTATGTAATCTTCTGATTTAGCCACCAAACCAATAGTCTGTGTACACATTCAATTAAACAAACCACATCACACAAACTAACTAGCAACCTAAGAAATTCAAGGTTTAATGAACTAAAGAAAGCTGAAAATAACCTTCTTGAAAAGTCTGAAACCGTTGCCAAGGAGCTGCCTCGACATGAAGTTGATCAGAGATGGAGGGACCAAGTCCAGCTTTATATCTGATAACATGCTGTGCAACTTCTCCGTCAACCTTTGCATTGAGCTTGCAGGACCGACCATAAAAGATGAGGTACTTAGTTTTTATTGAGTTGTATTTAAGTAATGCGTGGGTCTTATGATTTTTAAAACTAATCATCTGTGTCTTATTCGATGTAGATACAAGAAACCGATGCATGTAGAATTGTCATGCCAGCAGCTCTGACCAGCATTGTAGGAAAACCCTCCGTTTTAAGATAAGTATTGAAAATGAGAATTTTCTATACAAATATGATACATACAAGGTTCTGAAAATAATCTTCAACAAAGAAATGATTGAGGAGTTCGAGATAGAAGGCTTAATGCAGGCTTTACCTTCGTTTTCTTCGCTGGGTCATAACAGCTTACAAATAAGTGGGTACGACGATGCTCTTCGTATTTGTGCTGCAAAGTGGAGCATATCATCGTCATCTAATTGACAAGAAAAACTAAACACAATTGTTATGAGCTGTCTTTCTTTTCTTACTGAAAATGGTGAAGCCAACCTACTATGAAACATGAAAATAATTGAGCTTTTTAAAATTTGAAACTCCTATGTTTCTCAGTCACAAGCTTCTCCATGCATATAGACTAAGAAAAAAAAGAAGTAACAACAAAATCGAAAGGAAGACACCAACTTCAAAGTTTTTATGCACATTTAAACTTCAATCTTCATCTGCTATTGCCTCTCCTTTGCGCATCTTCTCCTTATGCCATTTACAGAATCCTTCAACCAACGCATCCTTCATCCAAGCATGCCTACAACTCCCTACAGCTTCTTCAATTGTTAGCCATGTCCTCGTTCTAGTCTTCTGCTCCGGCCAAGTCTCTAGCTCTTCCTTCACATACAAGGCGTACATTGCAGCTTTACATAAACCTTCTGGGCTAAACTCATCTTGGTGTGTTTTGCTTTTGAACTCATAATCTCCCAAGAAATCCTGCAAAAAGAGTCAACACATTTCTACACATTCAGTACCAGGCTGCTAATAGTAGTAACAAAGGGCTCAAAAGGGTGGTCTTTACCATTAAGATCCCACGGACTCCTGCTTCTTCGACTGCTTCCCTTACTGCAGCCTCCCTGACTGTCTCATCATTCTCCCACCCTCCCTACATTAATCAACAATCTATCGTCACTTCTTTGCAAACAGAATATAAAGCAAGAAGGAAGATTTTTGGTTTATACCTTGGGAAACAAAAGTCCAGGTCCACTAGATGAGCTGATCATCAACACTTGAACCACTTTCCCAGATTCAGAATTTAGATACCTAAAAGGAATACACCTACAAACGCGTGACGTTGAACTTGTTAAGCAAGGTACATCATCTCCGTAGACAAAAATTAAAGAGACAAAACAAAACCATAACAACCAAAAACAAAGGCTAACGCATACAGCACATCTCTCCTTCCTATATTGTCTGCTTGTTTAAACCAATGCATGCTCCTTTTATGCCTGGGCGTTCGGGTACCCCTTCGGCTATGTGTACGACTCATTCAGGTATCGGTTTCTTCGGGTTTTGAAAAATGGTCTCATTCGGGTATTACAAAAAAATTGGGTCGGTTCGGGTTGGATTCGAGTCGGGTCCTCCTGATTCCGGGTGGATTCGGGTTCTAACTGAAGTAACTAAAGTACTCGATTCTATTCGGGTATTTTATATCTAAAATACTCAAACTTATATAAAAATAACTAATATCCCAAAAATACTCTATATATGGTTCAAATTGGTTATTTTTTTTTGTAGAAAGTAACCATAGATACAATGTTATTTGGTTGTTTTGTATCCAAAACATCAATTTCTATCTATTAATATCCAAAATAATTAATATATTTGATATATAGATTTGATTTTAGGTATTACTATTAGTAAAGGTATAACTATAAATATTATTTTTCATATATTTAATGTTTGGATATGTTCGGATACTCATTTGGTTCTCGGTACGGGTTGGGTTCGGTTTCGATTTTGATTTTTAGGGCTTTGAAAAAAGGACCCTCGGATATTTAGGCTATATCCGATCGGGTTCGGTACCCTGATTTTCGGGTCGGTTTCGGGTAATTCGTGCTAGGATACAGACCTAATCATAAGCTCCAAAGAAACACGACATACGACCACAACATCTATACTTACTATGTTGTTTGTGGTTAAATCAATGCATCAATCCTCTCAGATCGAGATTCAGAACAAAGCATGAACTCCAAAAGGGACACAACATACCATCACTACAAAGGCTAAAACATATTTCCTTCCTATATAGTCTGCTTGTTAAAGCCAATACATGAATCCTCTCAAATCGAGATTCAGACAAGACTACCGACCAAAGCATGAACTCCAAAGAGACATAACATACGACCACAACAAAGACTAACACTCCTTCCTATATTGTCTGCTTGTTAAAACCAATTCATGATCCTCTCAAATTGAGATTCAGACAAGACTACAGACCATAGCATAAACTACAAAGAGACACGACCATATTGTCAGCTTGTTAATAACAATGCATGATCCTCTCAAGATTCAGACCAGTATTAGATACAGACCAAAGCATGAACGCAGAAGAGACACAACATCCGCTTATGTAAGAAAAGTGACCAAAGGGTGGGTTTAGAAACACAGTACCCAGCTACGAGACGTGAGCCATCAGCGTACCGTTGCTGAAGCCGACCCGTACGCGCCACCAAATCACACATCACCACCGAAATAACAAAAAAGAAATAGCTAGAGAAAAATCAAATCGTTGGCCATCAATATGAGAATAAACCACGACTCTTCTGGGATACCCTCACAAATGCGACTCTTCTACCTCCACCATTGCTGTCTCCTAACATTCCAACGGTTCAAAAGAGATCTCCCCATTTGATCTAATCTGACGGCTGGGGTTAGATCTAGGGTTTGGAATAGTCTCTCCCGCTTTAGATTTCTATCAAACACAGATTTGTATTTTCTATTTCTTTTTGGGTCAACAATGGCGATTTGATTATGAAAGCTAACAAAAGAAAAAAATGTAGTAATGATTTTCTTTTATCGGGGGCGGAAGAAGCAAACCGGGAGCGCGAAGACCGGATCTGCACCGTCAGCTAATCACGTGGGTTATGGGCCCATTATGGGCCCACTGATATATTCTCACTCGAGGTTACCACTTAATCATAACACTAGAGTTTCACCCGCACATCCGTGCGGGTATATTTTTTATTTTATAAAGGGAAAATTCCATATAAATACTCCAACTAAATTCTATTAAGTTTTTTAATACCCAAACTTTTTTACTACCCAGTTTAATACCTCAACTAATTATTCTGCCCATTGTAATACACCAACTTTTATAACTGTATCTATTTTAATACTCAAACTTTGTTTATTTTAATTAACAATACTAATAAATTTCAAACGAAATTTTAAAAAATCTCCAAAATTTAAGAAAAAATATTTAAATTTTCTAAGTTTATTTGAAGATTTAAGAAATAAGGTAAACACTCTGTAGAAAATTTAATGTTTTAAAAAAAAGTTTTTGAAGGAAAAAAAATAATTTACTTTTTATTTCAAAAAAACAAACTAAATTCAATATATAAAACTTAAAAAAAAAACTTATTACAAAACTAAAGATTAGAAAAAAATTATTTAATTTCGTTACTCAAACATATAATAAAATTAATTTTTTTGTGAAGTTTAGACATTTTTAAAATTTCACTGGAAATTTATTAGTATTGTTAATTAAAATACACAAAGTTTGAGTATTAAAATGGATACAGTTATAAAAGTTGATGTATTAAAGTGGGCAGAATAATTAGTTGAGGTTTTAAACTGGATGGTGAAAAAATTTGGGTATTAAAAAGCTTAATAGAATTTAGTTGGGGTATTTAAATAGAATTTTCCCTTTTATAAATATATAACTAATTTTTTTTAATATATGATTTATATTTTAGTTTTAATTATAATCATATCTAATAACGAAATAAAGAAATACTTATTTTATAAAAAATTTTTTTTAAAATTTTTGGTAAGATCTTGTTAGATTTTTTCAACAGATTTTGTTATATTTAAATTTATTTATTATTAATGTTCTTATTAGTTATTAAGATATTGTGAAAATCATATATATTTGACTGATTAATGTAACAATAAAATATGTCAATTAAGTAATTAATAACATGGTCCAACATGACTTCTAAATAGTTAAAAAATTTGGTACTTCTCTTTTAATAGAGAAGATGCATAGTGGTAAAATAAGTCAACAAAAACATAAATGAGACAGAATCTAGGAAATATTTAAATAAAGGGGACCAGATTGCAAAAACAAAACCACGCCACCGTGATTCAGAATCCAACCGTAGAATCTTCAAAAAAACGAAAGAGCTTGACAGCTCATCTGAACAACACGACGTTAGCCAGGAGCAAACTTAACCGTAAAATCGATTTTAAAAAAAAAGTCTTCACTTCTCGAGTGGCGTGGAGATTTGATTGATTGATATGTCTTCCACTTGTAGCCCCGGAAGCTCCCGCTTGCTGCAGCTCGGTGTCACCGGCTCTGCCTCCCGCCTCAGATCCTCTTCCTCCAAGAAGCCGCCTGAGCCGCTACGCCGCGCTGTGGCGGATTGCCTCTCATCCTCCAATTCTCCTGCTACCTCTCACCATGGCGCGATCCCTTCCATCGCACCCTCTGAAGCTCTTAGAAATCTCCGGGTGTGTGTACACACACATATCCTCTTGCTAGTGGAATTGAGTATCTTAGGGATTTGTTTTTGGTGTTGCATTGATAAAACGAATAGTAACAAGATAGCATTAATTAACTTTTATTTAATTAGTGTTGATGCTGCAATTGATTCTTAGAGCTAAGAATGTTGTATACTCTTGTGTGCTCTCTCTCTATTGTGAAAACTTTGTGCTATATAATATGCCACACATCACTGCTATTGAATTTGGTGCTAAATGTGGATGTGAAATTTGTGTTAAAAGGGATATGTAGTAGAACCTTTGTGATTGCTTGGGAATGTTTTTTTATGCGTATGTGGGAATTGCATGACCTTCTCACACAATCACTCGGTGATTACAGGATTATTTATCGGCCACTTCCACGACTGATCTGACCTATAACATGCTCTTAGAGCATACTATAGCTGAGAGAGATCGCAGGTAAATTGACTTTTATTTTGGATAGGCCACAAGTATATTTGCGCATTCGGAAACTTTCTCATGTCGTGAACTGTAAGTTTTGAGGGTTTAGAATTTAGTGAAAAAATGTCTAAGAATCTAGAAGTTCCCAACGGATATATATATTGAGTGATTGAATAGGAAATTAGTAACACAGTATCTATTCTTGCAAGTCTTATAGCTTAAATAATACAAAGTTACTAAAACCGCTTGCAGAATAAATGATCAGATTTCTAAGATAAAAGTGTTGGAGAAAGACTTCTAGAAGTAACTGAGCAGAGTCAGAAACCTTCCTGCATAGATATATCATCCACCCCCAGGCTGATTTTTAAAGTACCTGATGACCTATGCTGAATAGAGCCTTATGCAGCTAGGATGCAGACTGATATTTTTATAATCTAAATATTTCTCAAGTGTCATGGTCTTAAATATTAGTTGTTGCTAATGCTCAATCAATTTTCTACAGTCCAGCTGTGGTGACGAGGTGTGTGGCATTACTTAAACGGTACCTCTTAAGGTAACATAGTCTAGTCCAGTTACTTGATTATTTTTATATGCTTCTTTGAACTAGTATCCTTTCATTTATTAACGCCTCTCAGCTCATCCTACTCATTTTTGTTCCCTGTTTATGGAGGTTCCTACGTTTGGTTAATTACTTAGTAGATCATTAAAATATGAAAGAGGACATAATGGTTGTTCAAACCTAAGTGTACATTACATGTTTTTTTGCTATATAGTGAGGGTTGTCTGTAATATCTATACAGGTCGTCCAGTGTTTTTCGTAGATTATATGTTTACATTATAATAATCCCTAGTTGTTCCTACACTACAGATATAAGCCTGGTGAGGAGACACTACTGCAAGTGGATAGATTTTGCGTGAACCTGATTGCTGAGTGCGATGCTAGCTTGAAGCACAAATCATTGCCTGTTTTAACAGCACCATCTGATGCTTGTCCTTTACCAGTGTCCAGCTTTGCTTCTGTAGCTTTGGTGAAGTCATTGCATTATGTACGTTCCCTTGTGGCACTACATATCCCCAGACAATCCTTTCAACCTGCGGCATTTGCGGGAGCTACTCTTGCGTCAAGAAAGTTATTGCCATCTCTATCCTCTTTGTTGAGCAAATCATTCGATTCCCAGTTAAGTCCTGCCGCAGAGTCTCCACAGAAAAAGGATGCTGCAAATCTGTCTGTTTCAAACTTGTCAAATATAGAAGAATTTAATGCTATGGAAGGCAATGAATACATATCATCAGACTTACTGACTTGGCGTTGGGTTGGGGAGCTTCAGTTATTATCAGCTTCTTCTGAAAGGTACGTCCTACATGATTCTGTTCTTATATATATTTAAACGCACTATTGCTTCTTTTCTTGAGAGTACACTCGTGTATCTGAGTAGACAGATACTATTCAATAAATATCACAAGTAATTCCTCGTTGCATGGCTTTAGTACTTGGCGTCACTGAATGTCTTTTCTTTGCATGGTTAGTGAACGCCCTATGAATCTCCAAGACATGAACAATTGTAATCTTTTGGAAGTTGGGGCTGCCGGCCTGCTCGTCGGAGATATGGAAGCTAAAATGAAGGGCCAACACTGGAAATATTTTGGTACCACAGAGATGCCTTACTTAGAACAGCTCCTGCAGCCAGCTTCAGTCACGATGATAACAAATTCAGTCTCAGCTCGCACTCACTTGAAGGCGATAACAGCTACCAAACGCACTAGGAGTGACCCTCAGCAGATCTGGTATGTATTCGGTTGTGTCTTTTTCTATGTAGTTTGCAAAGTGAGAACTTGAGATTATACTGGTGTTTTATGCCGTGCAAGCTTTTACATTAGACACGTTATAGGCGCCTAGAAACGGGACTCTAGTTTTCAAGAAGTGATTATAAATTTATAATTCTCTCTTCTAGAGCAGAGTGCCATCAATTAATTATGATAATGCAGTGTAGGCAAATAACATGGATTTTATTTTATTTTCATAAATTAAGGGAACTTACTGAAATGTCACTTTCTGGAAGCTAGCATGCTACTGATACCTCCATTTGATGACAAAAGGCTTATGACATAATCATTTCCGGATAGTTTCGAAAGAATCACATAAATGGATATTTCAGGGATTGCATGATTTGACCTTACGAGAATGATGTTTTGGAAAATCTTATCAAAGCATAAACTCTGTTTTGAAAGTTAGTGTGTTCTTAGATTACAGATTTGCATGATCTGCAGGGATGATTGCACATTTCGTCCACGCGCCAGACCACTTTTTCAGTATCGTCATTACAGGTAAAAATGGAATGTCTGTATGATCTTTGGATTTTTTTTTCTTCATTTACTTGATGCCACTTATTTAATTTTTGTTGAATTCTTCCTTGATAGTAATAAGGTTTCCTTTTTGAACCTCTACAATAATACCTGATACTAGCCTCCCGTAAGGTCTGAATCAGTAGACGACAGACAAAGAGCTGCAGTTGAATAAACTCTTGACGATCAGTACATCTTATTTCACTGTGACTTATGGGTGGTTTGAGAGTCTCTCTTCAACTATTGTGTATGTGCATGGTGGATCACAGCATGTGTTTTGAATGAAAAGAGATTAACTGCATGGAAGCATCTTTCTGATTTAAATTTAGCTCTCACAACATCTGACTCTCGTTCTCTGTACGATTTTGTAGTGAACAACAACCTCTGCGCCTAAACCCTGCCGAGGTAGGTGAGGTGATTGCCTCTGTGTGTTCAGAGGCATCATCCACCCCTTCAAATCCAATGACCGTATCACCCCAACTGAATAGCAAGACTGGGAAGCCGTCGATGGATGTGGCTGTGAGCGTCCTGATAAAGCTTGTTATTGACATGTACGCTTTGTTAATCTGCCGCCAACCTAATTGTGTAGTCTCATTAAGATTTCTAGTAATCATTACCTTCCTTTTATAATTGTTGACAATCTTATGGTACTCCGTTTTTTGAAAACTCTATCGTTTTAGGTATGTCTTGGACGCTAGAATTGCTGCTCCTCTTACTCTTTCCATGCTCGAGGTGTGACTTCGACTCAGATACAGTATTCTGATATTTAAACTGCTTACTAATTGTTCTAGCCATGCATGCAAATTTGTTTCAGGAAATGCTTTGCTCCACAAATGCAGCTTGTAGGATTCGTGTATTTGATTTAATTCTTAATCTAGGAGTTCATGCACAATTGTTAGAGCCAAAGGTAAGTGATAATGCTACAACCATTGAGGAAGAATACGCCCAAGAAACATTTATCGACAATGAAAATAGGCTACTGCTTCAAGGGACAAGAACCAAAGACTTGCCTAAGATGTCAAGCACTTCTTCAGCTATTGAGAACTTCGAGTCTTGGATATTAAAAATCTTATTTGAAATACTTCTTCTCCTAGTTCAGGTATCTTACTCTCTTCTTTCTTCTCTGTTAAAAATACGTCAAAAATAGATTTGTTCTGGATTTTATACCTTCAAAATTGTTTTCTAGGTTGAGAAAAAGGAAGAATCCGTTTGGGCATCTGCTCTCAGCTGCTTGCTATATTTTGTCTGTGATAGAGGCAAAATAAGGAGAAAGCAGCTAAATGGTCTCGACATAAGGGTATGTTAGACCTATGCGGCTGAATATTATCTTTTTCTTCTGCTGTCATTGCCTTCCGACTCTCATTTTATTTGTTTTTAGACATTTGTAACTATTATTTCTCTTTCCTGCCTCATGCTACCATTAAATTGGCTCATGCTAAGCTGTACTTTCTGACGAGCCTGTCACTTTTCGTGAGCCAGGTTATTAAAGCTTTTCTGGGAACTAGCAAAAGGAATTCTTGGTCAGAAGTTGTTCATTCCAAGCTTATTTGTATCATGACAAACATGTTTTATCGACCTCCAGAACTAGATGGTTCTATCAAAGCAACGTCAAATGCCTCAAGTTTTCTTATAGAACAGGTCGATCTGATTGGTGGCGTAGAGTTCATTTTCTATAAGGTACTACGAATATACATAGATGACCTTTCTCAGAAACCATTCAAATAGATACTTTGAGCCCAATTATTTTCTGTTAGATTAAGGGACTCATCTTATTGATACAGTATTCTTTGGCAACCACTAGAGAGGAAAGAAGAAATCTCTACTCGGTTTTATTTGACTATGTTCTGCATCAAATTAATGAGGCATGCTCAGCTGCTGGTCTTTCTGAGTACAGTGATGATGAGATTCAACTTTTGGCTGTTCGGCTTGCTCTTGCTGATGCACCTGAAGCTTTCTACATTTCTGTTAAGCTTGGTGTTGAAGGCATAGGGGAAATCCTGCGAAGATCAATTGCTGCTTCATTGTCTGGGTTTAGCAACAGCGAACGTCTAAACGAGGTAGGTTTGTTCTTGTTAGAGTCTGTTGCAATATGTTTGCCAGTCACAGCTCTTTTTTCCTAACTCCTTTTTTTCTTCCTACTTGCAGCTTTTGGCAAATATAACAGAAAGATTTGACACGATAGTAGCTTCGTTTACTCACTTGGACAAAGAGTTTCTGCATCTTAAACAGATAACCAAGTCGTCCAAGTTCATGGAAAACATTCAAGGGTTAAGAAATGATAGAAGCATGTCAGTGAATCTAGCATGGGCTACTTTGCACTCTCTTCTTCATTCAGAAAGAGCCACATATCGTCAAAATGGATATATCTGGTTGGGGGATCTTCTGATAGCGGAAATTAGTGAAGAGAGTGGTGGAAGTATATGGCTGAGCATAAAAGACTTGCAGCAAAAGATTGTCAATTGTGGTGCCTCCGATTCCCTAATTACTTCTGATATACCTGTTTCCGTACATCTTCTGTGTGGACTCTTGAAGTCAAAGAACAGTGTTATCAGATGGGGTTTCCTTTTCATTCTGGAGAGGCTTCTTATGCGTTCCAAGTTCTTACTAGATGAGAATGAAACACAGCGATCAACCGGTGGAAGTGCTAGTCAGAATGAGAAAGACAGACGACTAGAGAAAGCAAATGCTGTTATAGGCATAATGAGCAGCGCTTTGTCTTTGATGGCACAAATAAATGAAACTGACCGGATTAATATCTTAAAGGTACATATTCTTTGCATCCTTTTGTGTGCTCTTTTTCCTTTGTTTTGTCAAATTTCCTTTCAAAGGCCACTCTAAAGCTTGCTGATATGCACCGTAAATATATGTTCTATATTTTGCGTAATTTGCATCAAAGACTACTCCATCTATTTCGTATTGGACTCTTTTATTCAGATGTTTTTAATTTATCTCAGTTTTCTCTCTGTTGTTTCCAAGCAGATGTGTGACATTCTGTTCTCGCAATTGTGCTTGAAAGTTTTGTTTGCCGATGAGGAAGCAGTCCCTAACTCTTCTGATAGAAATAGCAAATTTGATACATCCCATCGTAACAACTATCAAGAGAGTATGGATGATGCTGACACCAGGCCTCGGTACAACGATGTCTCTGTTTCAACGTGCGAGACAGCGTCAATGGCAGCAATGCTTCTTCGTGGACAAGCCATCGTCCCTATGCAGCTGGTTGCGCGTGTTCCAACGGCTTTGTTTTATTGGCCCTTGATTCAACTAGCAGGTGCAGCAACTGACAATATTGCACTTGGTGTCGCCGTTGGAAGTAAAGGAAGAGGGAATATCCCAGGGGCAACCTCTGATATTCGAGCCACCCTACTATTACTTCTGATCGGTAAATGCACCGCAGATGCAGTTGCTTTTCAAGAAGTTGATGGAGAGGAGTTCTTTAGGTGATTCATTGACTCTTCTATACTTCGAAACCAAGTTGACTTATCTGTGCAACATGTTTCATAGCATTTACAAACATATGTTTATCTGTGTAGGGAACTCCTGGATGATACTGACTCAAGGGTGGCTTATTACTCTTCAGCATTTCTACTAAAGGCAAGAAAATTTCTCAAACTCACCATTTTGATTTTGAAAGATATTTATTCCTTCGAAGATATTAAAGCTTCCAAATCTTTTTTTTGGTTCATTTGTTTTGCTCACTGGTTACAGAGGATGATGACGGAGGAAGCAGAGAAATACCAAAACATGCTTCAGAAGCTTGTCTTCAAGGCTCAGCAGGTAAATGCTCTTGTACTAATTCAGAGTGTGGAGTCATAGTATCTCAAATATCAGTGAGTTTTTTTCTTTTGTTTTCTGTCACATATAATATTATCCTTGTTTTGTGCAGAGCAATAATGAGAAACTGCTGGAGAATCCATACCTGCAGATGTGTGGTATACTCCAGTTATCAAACGATCCTTAAACTTGGGTCAACTCGCAAGTCTCCAGTTTAATGGCTTCTGTAAGTGTCTCGATTTCAAAAAAAAAAAAAAATCTTAGAGAGTTACTTTGGCACCACCCTGCCGCAAGAAAGGAAAATTGAGTGAAAGTAAAAGACATTTCATAGATACTAGACTCGTCAGTGAAAGTAGCAGAGGGAATCTGCAAGTGAATTCAGATATGGCTTCCTGTGACAGATAGTTTAGTGAGTTTATTTGACATCACTTTGGCTGAGATCTGAAGAAAGCTTGCAGTTAATCGTTGTCTGAACGGATCAACTAGAATGTGATCATATGATTCATTCGCCTTCTCCTTTTTCTGTGGGAATGGCGAACTTACAGAGACACTGCGCTTCTGATAACCACCGCCATGTCATTTTTTGTCCTAACAAACTGAAGGTTCCTTTTCTCTTATGCTCTTCTGTGTGTAAAATTAACAAAAATCCTGGACAGAGGCTGCAGCTCCAGAAATTTTAGTTTTCTTGGAGCTCTGCTTTTGTATAGCCAGGAACAAAACCAGTTAGTTAGGTGATTGTTTGTGTAGAGAACTAGAGATAGATAGGCTTATTGTCCTTTGGGTGTCGAATGGTTATGTGAAAAGTGTGAACCTAACCAGTGTTTTTTTTTGTCATTTCTAGAAGTAATTCTTTTGTTGTTTCTGGCTTACCATTATCTAAGAGATACTATAGAAACTAATCATGTTTATGATTTGTCTGTACAAAAAAAGCTTGAACCTTCAATTTCAAGCTATAGAAGAGATCCCTAAACACCAAAAACAGGATCAAAGTCTTGTCCAAACAAACAAAAAAGGCTGGTTTGATACAATGAACGATACCCAGGCCGAGATATAATAGTCTTGTAGCGTTTGCAAGCAGATAATTCATGCGTTCAATCATAACGTTGTGCAGCTTCCGCAATTTTTATAACCAAGTTTTCAAGCCTGGCTCATTTTAGTAATTACAACTATAACCAGATGTCATATAATTAAAATGGGCCAGGCTAATCTCGTGAAAAGGTGAGTAACCACGTTGTGAAAAAAAAAAACTAAAATGGGCCAGGCTAATCTCGTGAAAAGTAAATAAAGAACCTCTCGGACTTTGAGAGATCCAAATACTTTGTTCTGTTCTGTATACAGTAATTCGCTTCTGGTTCCTGAAGATCTGAACTTTCTCCACCCATTCTGTCCTCACAAAACGGTAAATCTTGCTCGACTTTAATACCTACGCGTCCTTTCTTTAGAGATCTGATTCTAACAGATGTGCCTGAGTTTGTGTGTGTTGCTGTGTTCTCGCGGCGAGAGTGTTTGCTCTGGGCGCCATCTGTATAGTGTGGTCCTTTGAATCTGTGTCTGTCGAACGAACTGCCAATTTCTTTTGTTGGATTGTGTCACGTTTTTGGGTTTTAGATGCTTTGAGTCTCAAATTCTTCTCCAATGTGATTCGGTTCGTTAGACTCTGAATTTAAAGATCGCGGGTTCGATGCTCACTAAGATCATTTTGCTTGTTTTTTTTGGTGGTTAATACTACTATCAATCTGTTCTCTGAGCAATGTTCAATTGAATTTGTTTTGCTCAAATGTTGATTGTGTTTGGTGTGCAGATGATCGATGATCAAGACTTGGGGTTTATAGTCAACTCTCTTGGCATCTTCATCTTCGCATTGGTAATTGCTTATCATTACGTAGCTGCTGATCCCAAGTTCGAAGCCACTTGAATCATGTATTTTCAGATAATGTAACTCTTTTTTTTAAAAAAAAAGCTTTATAATAACAATTCTCTGCCAAGATATAAAGATGTTTGTAAGCTGTTTCACATCTTCATTTCTTCACTTATATTTCGGGTCGATCTCTTAAACCTTTAGGCCCGAGTAAACGCAGCTAAGATGGTTTAGGTTGGTTCTCACGTTCACATGAATTGCATGCAAAAATCTTTAGCACAACCGACCCAAACGTCATACGGTTCCTGATGCTTTCTGAGGTGACGAAACACCCGAGAAGCAAAGTTAAATAGTACTAACTAGGATTAAAATTTGGGATGTATATCGAAATAAAAAAAAAAGGGCTCTGAATGAAGTCAATAAACTAATCATATAATCCTTCCGACAACCTTAGAATAATCAATGATCAATATATACTATACAGTAACAACATCTGATTTTCTAATGATATATCTTATGCAGTTGATAAATATTTTATTTTTGAATGTCATTGATATATAGTCGATTTGCACAAATGAAATGTTTGTTTGACATTTTGTAACAATGATATTTATAATCCACAAAACTATAAAATTAATAATTTTTTAAAAAATTATTAAATTTTCTTTTCAAATATTTATGGTTTCTAAACTTTAAGATCGATTCTTCATTGATAAATTTCTAGTCTTAATGCCAAAAGTATTTGTATGACCATGTTCTCAGCAAAATATACAACACTTAGCCTTTATTATTACCATCAAATTATAAAACTCCAAAGGTTTTCCAAGTTTTTTTTTTCTTTTTTTTTTGTTTAATCAGTGGTATTCCAAACCGAGATCCAAATTAAATCTCACACGTATATATTCTCTTTTTAGATTTTTCTAATGGGTCTAAAACATTATTTCATATTTATGTGGCATGTGATCACAAATCAAGATAATCTGAATTGTAAAAGATGTAAATTATTAATTTTTTAAAATTCTGGAATGTGTTTTCCAAGTTTAGGTTTAAATGTATCAAAGGTTTTAACTAAATTTGTAAAAAGTTATGGAATTTTTTTAATTAATAATTGTATATCTGAATTTTTATGATTTTTTATTGTGAAAATTATTGTCTGCAAAATTACAGTGCATAAACGTTCGAAAATAGACGGTCAAAAAGACAAAAACGCTGTGAGAAAAAGGTAAAACTATGTGATTGGGTGACCTGGTGGGCTACCTTTCAAAAAAATGGTAGTTACACTTTCTTAGAGTTTTGACATATTTAAAAAAAGAGACCTCTCGAAGGAGCTAGAACCAATGACAACAAAAAAGGAAAGAGGCAGAGAAACAAGATCCAACGGCCCAAATAGCATCATCTGAACATTCTCGAACCTTTTTTTACCGACCCTTCACTCATATTTAAACACCTCTCCCCTTCCCTTACTCAAATCACAAAAAGAAAAGAAGAAACGATACACACAAAAAAAAACTCACTCACAAATCTCGATTTTTGATAATCTAATGGCGGGAAAAGGCGAAGGTCCAGCAATCGGTATCGATCTCGGTACAACCTACTCATGTGTCGGCGTGTGGCAGCATGACCGTGTTGAAATCATCGCTAACGATCAAGGCAACCGCACCACTCCTTCCTACGTTGCCTTCACTGACAGCGAGCGTCTTATTGGAGATGCTGCTAAGAATCAAGTCGCTATGAACCCTACCAACACCGTCTTTGGTAAGATTTTAACTTCTTCGTGCTCTTAAATCATGATCTCTGCTCTAGTTTTCGAGTAATAGTGTTTTAAAAACGGTCTAACCGTCTGTTTAGGCGGCAAATCCAATTCGATCATGAACAAAAAAGATTAATATAAACAATTTTTCTAATCTAATTCTGTACAGAGCCTTTGTTGATGTCTAGGGCTAGCTATTACTTAATTTAAGGATTATTTTTAGTTATTGTCTTAATTTTTGAATTATCTGTGATTTTTAAATTATCAATTAATATTTATTTTTAATATTATTTAGCAGTTTTTCAGTTATTATTTTAAATAGTGATTTTTAACCTATCCAGCGATTACATATTTTGGTAACTATTTTAAGTAATCGTCTAACAATTTTTTTAATAACCTAGTGATCAACTTTTATATTATCAATTAAATTTTTATTGTTGAAAAGTTTTTTATTTTATTGTTTAAATGTTTTTTTTAATTAGTGTTTAGCAATTTCTTAGTTACTATTTTCAAATAGTGATTTTTAACTTTGTTCACTGATTAGTGTGATTGATTTTTATTTTTTTGAAAGATTAGAGTGATTGATTTTCTGTTTAAAAAAATAACAAGCGGTTTCTTAATCACTGTCTAGCTAACTTTTAATCCTGCGTTAGTGATGATTTACATATTATTTATGTTATTAACTAGAAACATTTACTGTTTGCAGATGCTAAGCGTCTAATTGGCAGAAGATTCAGCGACCCCTCTGTCCAAGCTGACATGAGGCACTGGCCATTCAAAGTCATCTCCGGTCCAGCCGAGAAGCCAATGATCAGCGTCAACTACAAGGGAGAGGAGAAGCAGTTCTCCGCAGAAGAGATCTCCTCCATGGTTCTCACAAAGATGCGTGAGATTGCAGAAGCATACCTCGGCACTACCATCAAGAACGCTGTCGTCACAGTCCCTGCCTACTTCAACGACTCTCAGCGTCAGGCAACCAAAGACGCTGGAGTCATCTCTGGTCTCAACGTCATGCGTATCATCAACGAGCCTACAGCTGCTGCTATTGCGTATGGTCTTGACAAGAAGGCGTCTAGTGTCGGTGAGAAGAATGTTCTCATCTTTGACTTGGGAGGTGGAACTTTCGATGTGTCTCTCCTCACCATTGAGGAAGGTATCTTTGAAGTGAAGGCAACGGCTGGTGACACTCACCTTGGTGGTGAGGATTTTGATAACAGAATGGTTAACCACTTTGTGCAAGAGTTTAAGAGGAAGAACAAGAAGGACATCACTGGTAACCCTAGAGCTTTGAGGAGGCTGAGGACAGCTTGTGAGAGAGCCAAGAGGACTCTTTCCTCCACTGCTCAGACTACTATAGAGATTGACTCTCTCTACGAGGGTATTGACTTCTACACAACCATCACGCGTGCGAGGTTCGAGGAGCTCAACATGGATCTCTTCAGAAAGTGTATGGAGCCTGTGGAGAAGTGTTTGAGAGACGCTAAGATGGATAAAAGCAATGTTCACGATGTTGTACTCGTTGGTGGCTCCACTAGGATCCCAAAAGTTCAGCAGCTTTTGCAAGATTTTTTCAACGGGAAGGAGCTTTGTAAGAGCATTAACCCTGACGAGGCTGTTGCTTACGGTGCGGCTGTTCAGGCAGCGATCTTGACCGGTGAAGGGAACGAGAAGGTTCAAGATTTACTTCTTCTTGATGTCACTCCTCTATCATTAGGTTTGGAGACTGCTGGTGGTGTTATGACGACTTTGATTCCGAGGAATACCACGATTCCGACCAAGAAGGAACAGGTGTTCTCAACTTATTCAGACAACCAGCCTGGTGTTTTGATCCAAGTCTACGAAGGAGAGAGAGCAAGAACCAAAGACAACAACCTCTTGGGGAAGTTTGAGTTAAGCGGCATCCCACCTGCGCCACGTGGTGTTCCTCAGATCACCGTCTGTTTCGACATTGACGCTAACGGTATCCTCAACGTGTCTGCTGAAGACAAGACCACAGGGCAGAAGAACAAGATCACCATCACTAACGATAAAGGAAGACTCTCCAAGGAGGAGATTGAGAAGATGGTGCAGGAAGCAGAGAAGTACAAGGCTGAAGATGAGGAGCACAAGAAGAAGGTTGATGCTAAGAACGCTCTCGAGAACTATGCGTACAACATGAGGAACACGATCAAGGATGAGAAGATTGCCTCTAAGCTCGATGCAGGTGACAAGAAGAAGATTGAGGATGCTATTGATCAAGCTATTGAGTGGTTGGATGGGAATCAGCTCGCTGAGGCTGATGAGTTTGAGGATAAGATGAAGGAGCTTGAGTCTGTTTGTAACCCGATTATTGCGAGGATGTATCAAGGTGGTGCTGGTGGTGATATGGGAGGTGGTGCTGGAGGTATGGATGATGATGCTCCTGCTGGTGGTAGCGGTGGTGCTGGACCCAAGATTGAAGAAGTTGATTAAGTTTTCTAGCTATGTTGTTTCTGAGTTCTTGTCTGAATCTTTATGTTGTTTCCTTGCTGCTTTTATTTTGGACCTTTTGGTGTTTTGTGATAAAATCTCTGCTATAAAATCTATTTAGCTCCCTACTTTCTGAGTTCTATTATTGTTAGCTCAATTCTCTCTCCAAGCGAAGATATCGTTCACTAACTTTCACTTCTCTTGTTTGTTTACAAAATTAATAAAAAATTCACAATAATAAAACCAATTTTGCCTTACACACACCTTGACACACATATAGAATCAACATCATTACATCTACAAAGGCAAGAGATATCGAAACTCATAGTCATGAGGCCTAACTTCCACCAACTTATTCAAAGACGACTCACTTTTCTTGTTCATCCACTCGACCGCTGTTTCCTTGACCTGCAAGCAACGTTGTACTGGAGGTAATTGGCTGCATATCCACTCAACTAATGACACTTCATCCTCTGCGAAATCTCGCAGACGCTTGTGCAAGAATCTAGGAATCACAATCTTTTTCCTCCCTGAGATACCTATGGAAGCTTCTAAATACTCTGTTCTCGCTTTGATTAGTTCGTTCACCACATCTTCTGCAGTGTAGACTCTTAACTGTATCATGTGTTACACAAGGATTCTTTGTTAGTTACTACTTTTTAAACAGCCCTAATGATACAAAGAGTGAACTTACTGCAGGCGAAGACCAGTCTCCACGACAAAGCACGAACATTAGGTTTGGTTCTACGCATGTGAATCCGTACCGTTTGTGTAGTCTCACTTCGTTTTCACCAGTTGAAACCTTGTGGTCGGATAAAAAAAAACATTTTGATAACCATAAATACAACTTTAATAAATGGTTGTATATTGTATGTAAACATCAATACTTACAGCTTCCCTGGGTTCGCATGGACTCTGCAAGACGGAACCTTCGATATCTAGAGCAGAGAGTTGCGTGCCTCCCACGTCAATTGTTGCCTATAACACAAGTAAACTTGAATAAGTATGAGAACTTAAAGATGACTTTTGTGTGTGTTATGTATTGACTACCATTTTGAGAATGTTTAGTAGTTTCTCCTTTGATGAAGGTAGTCCATGTTCTAGAAATCCCTGCAAAACAAATTAGGGTTTTCCAAAACACTTAAAGACTTCGTTTCAGTTAAAGATGCATGTCTTGGTAACCTAGTGGTAATGAAAGAGATTGGTTCTGTAACTTGTGCCCCAGGTTTTAAACCATTTTCACTAGGGAATGTTGATTATTAAATAGGAATATTTAAAGGCTGAATCTAGATGTGGAAAATTAACAAAGAAAAGAGGCGTGTGTTGAGATTTAGGAGCTAGTTACATTCATGACGCAGGCGTTGTAGGTATTGATCCAGAATGCCATCTTTTTCTTGTGGTTCAAGAAACTCAAATCAACTTTGCTCAACTTCTCCTTCAAAACCCTAAAAATGTATTCTTTCATTATAAAAAAGATCATATGATATCTTGTGATCAGATAATTATAAGAAGGAATCTGAAGTACCTTAAATTGACAATAGAAGTTGAGCAATCAGATAAACGGCTAACATCAATGGATGTTCTAGTAATGTGTATGAAGTTCTTGTACTCTCCAATGTCTCTAAAAGAAGTCCCCATCACAACTCCATAAGGATCAAGATTCGACGCGTTCTGATCATACACCGATTTGCGTTTGAAAGAAGCGTTCTTCAGATGTGAGAGGCTCAGCTTTGAAACAGTTCTTGACCCTTCTCGCTCACGAGATGACCTGTTGAGTTCAAGATAGATTCCCATCAAGCACTTCACAAGATCTTCTGATATTCCATTTGGTGTAGCCTCTTGCACTTTCTTCTTCTCTTGTGCTCTTGATGATCCATCAGAAAAGGTAGAAGAATGGATTCTTGATGAGAACTCCATGGCTGATCCAATTGACGTACGAGGACTGTTCATTTGAGGATCCTTGACAAGACGAGGCTGTTCACAGCTCTGAGACTTGGATCTTTGTTTTAGATCTTCGGATCTCATCTTTGTAACGGCATTGTTAGCATTGCAAGGGAGATGATTCTGCCTTTGGAGTAGTCTCTTAGGAGTCAACATCCTCTCTTCTTCAGAAAGATTGGCTTCAAGTTCTTCATTGTTTTTTCGCTCACTATGCACATCAAGTTTCAGGTCTTGGATTCGTTTCTCAAGGCAGAGTATCTCTGCCTCAACAGTCCCAAGCTCCTCTATTAGTTCTTGAACCTATACAATACTCCAAACAATTTGATAAACATTCCTACAACTTCAAAATCATGTTTTCTAGATGTACTAAACCTTTTTGTTAGTTTTTTTTTAGATATCAGATCACTACGTTTCATGTGTTTCCAATTTTAAATCAATTGAGGATAAGCATATGTGACATTTATATATTAATTATGTCACTTAGAAACTCTCAGGTGGAATCTTAATATTCTTACACATTTCTACATAATCTCAATAGTTTGATTTAATAGAGCAAAAAAGTTTTCGTCACAAATATAGATCTTAAAAAAAAAAATAATTAAAATAGACTTAAATGTTTTATAAAAAATAAATAAATATACACTTATATTCTTTGGGTTAACTAATCATATTCCGTTTGTTTAGAGTTGATGACTGAAGTTTTGAGGTAGTATTTCAAATTTTAAAAAATTAAAAAAAAAATTAAAATTTTCAAAATAAAAAAATGCTATTTTAGTCATTTTAGTTTTTGAGTTTTATTTTTGTGATAAAACTTAAAAAAATATATATTTGAGAGATTTGCCCTTCATTTATTCATTTAAACATTTAAATCGTAAGAATTTTAGAAACAAACAAACTTGCCTGAGGAGGAAGAAGCAGTAAAGAGAGACGAGGCTGAGTCATGACAGGACCACGAAGCATGTCACGTAAAGCCTTGTTGAGTGCTTGCTCGTCCTCCAGCTCTCCTTGCATTTTCGTCACATCTCTCTGAAGACGACGTTTTTGTTTCTTCTTTAACAAGTCTCTATTCTCTTCTTCACTCTTATGATCATCCTTCACTTCTGCTGGCTGCAAAAAAGAAATAAAATATGAAGTGAAGGTTAATCAGAATTGTATATGAGTTTCTGCACTTACTTGAAGTTGCAATTGCTGACGGTTTTGACGGCGATGATGATCAAGAAGAGCCGCTACGCTATGTTGATCTACGGTTTCTTCTTCCCCAAGTAAGTCTTCAAGCTTCATTTTGTGTTTCTATGGAGGAGTCTAGAGAAAAAAAGCAAACTAATCATGAATGAGTTTAATGAAGCTGTGTGTTGCAAAATGATATAAACGTGTAAAGATATGAGATCATAAGTAACAATCGTGCCTGCAATGAAGTCTTTGGTTGATTCAATTTCTTACATTGGCTTGTAATTGTTTTTCAGGATTAGGAGAAAGTCGTCATGACGTGAAAGCCATTAACAACAAAAAGAATTTTTGATACGTGTTACAGAAGTCAATTTCAATTTTTTAAAAAATATAATGAAAAGTCTTGCTATGAAGTAACGAATACAGCACAGACATAGCTTTAACATTTCTCATTTTGACTTAAAATATATAAAAACTTTACTGGTGGTTGCCTGCCATTATATAATGATGATCCATAAAATTGAACCCGGTTTACGATTTTGATTTTGGTTTGCAATTTGGTTCAATTAAAAATACCACGTCTAACCGAAACCGGAGTTCATTTCCCGCTTCACTGAGATCTGGTTTCCCGCCAAATGTAAAAAAGACTATTCGAAGCTTTTCTACGTGATCGAAACCCTAATCTGTGTCTCCTCTTCTCTTCTTCATCTACTTTCGGAAGGGATCGATCTGATCTTCCAGGAATCACACGAACGAAACCTAACTCAGGTAATCTCGGATTCATATCTCAATTTAGGGATAAGGCTCCTCTCTCACTTTACAGCGTTTCCTACGAAACTCCAATTTTGATCGTTGGAACACACTCGATGTTCATAATTATAGACTATTGTTGTTGGTTTATTCATGATGTTGCTGAGATTCGGAACCCGGATAATTTGCTTAGAACATGCGGAGGAGATTATGTAGACAAGTTGTTCGATTAAATGTCAAGTAGGGATGACTATATTACCACTTTGAACTATCTCAGCTTTGTTCTATATACTCCCCCATGAATTTTGAACAATAATATAAGTGTGTGTCTCACATTGGGACTTTTAGTGATTTATGGACAGTAACATAAGTATATGGCAATCATCAACTCTTTAATTAGCTTTTGGGTGTGAGTTAGGTCTATTAGTAATATGTTCTTTTAAATATCAAATATGTTTCGCTGCTTTCTTTACTTTAGACTTCATGTTGTATTACACAACACAGTAGTAATCTTATACCAGGTGTCTTCTATTTTAGGTGTGTAAACTGAGATTTCTTGAGATATATCCATGGCTGGACAGACTGATCCTCACATCTCACTGTTTTCTCCTGAAGAGGTTCTTCTTCTTCTCATCTTCTTTTTTATTTGTCTTCGTGTGCACGGTCTGCAGTGGTATAATAGATTTTGAGCATTTCTTATCAGGTTGAGTTTATGGGAGAGGATGAACTGGTGGAGATTGTTCCCAATATGAACATGGAGCCGCTCAACTTCATCGCTGTAATCTCTCCTGCTTTACACAATATTTGAAACCATGTGGTTCATTTTTTTGGTTAGCCAAGCCATGTGATTGATTTTTGAACCGGTGGTGACAGGGGGATTTTGGTCGGTTCGTTCCTCAGATTCCGACACAAGTGCCTCTGTGGCTTGCTGTGGCATTGAAGCGGAGAGGCAAATGCACTTTCCGGCCACCACAGTGGTTGTCTGTTGGTAAGACAAAAAGTTGCAGATTTGAATGCAAAGCGAGTTATGTGCTCAAGTGTTGACTGTATCTTGTTGCTTCTTCCTCTGTGAACTAGACAATTTGACTCAGATTCTGGAAGCGGAACGGGAACCTCAGTCGAAATTTCAGCCGTTACCATTTAGTTATGTGGAGATTGCTAGACTGCTTTTTGATCAGTATGTGATTTTTAGACTCTACTTGTTTCGTTGCTCCTCCCCTTGCATCTTTAGTATCTGAGAATACTGATGAGTACTCACTTTTGGCAGTGCACGTGATGATATTCCAGACATGTATATGGTAATTTCATACATATGTCCCTCCCATTCCAAAACCATGTGGTTAAATCCTTCAAGCGTTTAGAACTCTTTGTTATTGAAACTTTGTATAGGTAAGATCGTTAGTTGAGGATATTAGAGATGTGCGGCTTCACAAACTCGAGAATAACTTGGGCTCATTTCAAGGTACATCTGCAGTAAAGGTAACTTTCTTTATATTGCTTCTTGTACGTTACCTTTTTATCATTACATCTTAAGAGTGATTCTTATAATAACCAAATCCCCAATTCAAAAACTCAGATGGATAATGTATCGGCAATGGAAGTGAACCTAGTCCGCCCATTTGCTAGAAGAGCCTTAGAAGCGTTTTATAAGCATGACAAGCCAGAGGCTGATACAGCAGACAGAGACACTAGAAGTAGTAGACAACCCCGTGAAGCTAACAATGAGCCAAGGGTAAAACCCTTCACACTCCTCACTCATTTACTTCTTTTTTTCTTTCCTTTTAAGAGAACAAATACAAACCTCAAACTTATGTTTTACAGAGACCTCTAAGGCAACGCTAAGGAGCTACCCTTGCTTAAGTGAGAATAATTCAGGTATCGTCTCTGCCAAAATATATGGAGCTCCCCGAGAAGTGAGAACACCAACAGCATCTATGTCTGTGTCTTAACTATATTCCCTTGTTTCTCTTGTTCTGTTACATACGCTTTTGGTATTATTAAACATCTTTGCGAGTTGTAGATGGAACCCTTATTGTTTCATTTCAAGTGTCATGCAACACCCAATGAAATACACATGTTGCATGTGGAGTCAAAGGCTTATACTAAAACAGTAAACATACAAATTATTAAGACACGAAGTCGTATTATATTACACATTAATTTGTATACACGTGTCCAAATAATGAATATAGACGGCTTTGCGTCCGTATCCTTAGTCACTGGCACTACGTTTGCTCTCTGTTTCTTCATGCTACAATCAGTGATACGTCGCTCTTCTTCACATTTGACCTCTCTTCCGATGTCTTTCACCGTCAGTGATATCACCACCACCACCGCCTCATCATCTTCTTCTCCGGCTATTCCGGTTAAGATCATTCCTCTACGGCATCCAGATTCCACCTCTTCTGCTGATGATCTTCGCCGTCCCTCCACTTCATTCCATGGTTTGTTCTCTCAATGGACGGCCAAGATCAAGCGTATGACGTTCTTGGACTGGTTGGATACGTTATTTCCTTGCTTTATTTGGATTCGAAGTTACCAGTGGCATCAGTACTTTAAGCTTGATCTCATGGCTGGTATCACAGTTGGTATTATGCTTGTCCCCCAGGTAACCTCTGTTTCTTCGTTTTTTGTTTGATTCTCTTCTGCCACGTGGAGCTCGGTGGTGTATGTTCTTTTTGTACTTTTAGCAAGTGAATCACACAAACTCTAAGTCTATCTTTATTTTTCTCATGGAATTGAACAGTCAATGTCGTATGCGAAGTTAGCTGGGCTTCAACCAATATACGGTTTATGTGAGTTCATTGTGATTCACACATTTTCAATGAATTCATAATATATTAATATCTAATAGTATAAGCTCAGTTCATTTTGTTTGGTTATAGACTCCTCATTTGTGCCGGTGTTTGTGTATGCTGTCTTCGGCTCATCTCGTCAGCTTGCGATTGGACCTGTAGCATTGGTTTCTCTTCTCGTCTCCAACGCTTTGGGTGGAATTGTTGATCCATCTGAAGACCTATACACTGAGCTTGCCATTTTGTTGGCACTTCTTGTAGGAATATTTGAGTGCATCATGGGTTTTTTAAGGTATATTATAGTCTTCTCTTTACTCTCTTTTAGCCTTTTTTTTTTGTGTTTGACATGACCTGTATTTATTCTAAGTATTAGAAACAAGTCGTTTGTTTGTGTTTCCAAACCAGGCTTGGATGGCTTATTCGTTTTATAAGTCACTCGGTCATTTCTGGATTTACATCTGCTTCAGCTATTGTGATTGGATTATCCCAGTTGAAATACTTTCTGGGATACAACGTTTCCCGGAGCAGCAAGATTGTGCCACTAGTTGAGAGTGTAATAGCTGGAGCTGATCAGGTGAAACCTTGTTCTTTTTTCCTGAGTTGACCTTAGAATACTTTGCAGTAGACTTCATCTGGTTTCCCGTTTTGCAGTTTAAGTGGCCACCTTTCCTGTTGGGATCTACTATTCTGGTGATCCTTCTAGTAATGAAGCATGTGGTATGAGCCTTGTTCTTTCCTATGTTAGTTCTTTTTTCCCTAATTACATTCATTATTCAAAGGCATGATGTTTCATGCAGGGGAAAGCAAACAAGGAACTTCAGTTCATACGAGCAGCAGGGCCGCTCACAGGTCTTGCGCTTGGTACAACCATTGCGAAAGTTTTCCATTCACCTTCCATCTCACTGGTCAGATTCTTCACTGAAGCTGTATATTTGTTAAGCGTTTGTAGTAATTGCAAAGTTTTAAGGATTTTTTTCAGGTGGGAGATATACCTCAAGGTCTTCCAAAGTTTTCTTTACCAAAAAGTTTTGATCATGCAAAATTATTGCTTCCAACAGCGGCTCTTATTACTGGTGTGGCCATCCTGGTGAGATATAATCTTCATATACTTCCTCCAAGTGGACTGAGATATAGAGTAATCTGTAAATGGATGGATATGGCTGAGATATAGAGTAATCTGACCTCTTGAGATGTAGAAGAGAGAGTTTCTTGATTAGGTTCAGCTGCAGTTTGCCCATGTTATGACAACATGTAATGATTCTCTGCTGACTGATGTGCTAGTTCAACCTTTTTTTTTTCTAGGAATCTGTAGGTATTGCCAAAGCACTGGCAGCAAAAAACAGATATGAGTTGGATTCAAATTCAGAGGTAATAATCCTATAGAATAAAGAAAACCAAGTGCTGGCTCAATGTTTACATAAAATATTGTTGTATTTGTTCTTTTGCTCTCAACATCTCATGGTAGAGTTCCAACTGTTTCTCCTGTGACTTCACAGTTGTTTGGTCTAGGCGTTGCTAATATATTTGGATCATTGTTTTCTGCATATCCAACTACAGGTATGTGATCTTGACTCTTGAGATTAGTAAAGCCACCAGTGACAATGTGTTGTATGTGTTACCTTTGATAAAATTCAAGAAAAGAAAAAAGATGATTCTGACTTCTAAGCTATACCTGAGTTTGATGATTGATTCCCTGAATGTATCATTATAGGATCCTTTTCTAGGTCAGCAGTGAACAGCGAAAGTGAAGCGAAGACTGGCCTATCAGGTCTTGTAACAGGAATCATCATAGGATGCTCTCTATTGTTCTTGACCCCAGTGTTTAAATATATACCACAGGTAGATTTGTCATCTTTTTGTCTACTTCACATAAAGTCCTTATAAATCGGAAACTCGGAAGATTTTGAAATCGGGCTTCTAACTTTATACTGTTTGTCAAATTGACAGTGTGCTTTAGCAGCAATAGTGATATCTGCTGTTAGTGGCTTGGTAAGTTTAAATCAACCCACCCGAACATATATGTACTGCTGCCTTTTGGTTATTGAGCAAGTATATTCACATTTGCTCTTTCTGGATGTTTACCATTGTAGGTGGACTATGAAAGGGCTATTTTCTTGTGGCGTGTGGACAAGAGAGATTTTACTCTGTGGACCATCACTAGCACCACCACTCTGTTCTTTGGAATAGAGATTGGAGTCCTCGTTGGTGTAAGTATGTTCAGTTCACTTAGTATGAAAAGGAGTGATGACGTTGAATAGTAGGATAATCTATATAAGTTGTGCAATGAAGTAAGGGCTCACAAAGTTTACAATGCTTGGAATTTCAGGTTGGTTTTTCACTTGCATTTGTTATACACGAGTCTGCAAATCCTCATATTGGTAAAGATGAGTTAATTCTTAACTATACTGTCTTGTTTCTCATAATGGTTTTAACTCATTGATTACGTTTCATCTACAAATGTTTGGCAGCTGTCTTGGGGCGTCTTCCAGGAACCACTGTGTACAGAAACATGAAGCAGTATCCAGAAGCGTACACTTACAACGGGATTGTGATTGTTCGAGTCGATGCTCCCATATATTTTGCCAACATAAGTTACATCAAGGACAGGTGAAAGTGACATTTGGTTACTGACTTGCATTGTGTTATGATCCTAGAGAAAGAATTAAACCCTAAACCCTGTCGCAGGCTAAGAGAATATGAAGTAGCTTTTGATAAACACACTAATAAGGGACCAGAGGTGGAGAGGATCTACTTTCTTATCCTGGAAATGTCTCGTAAGCTCCAACTTTTTCGAATCTTACATTAGTATAGTGGACAAATGGGTATTGAATAATTTTGATGTAACGCAGCTGTCACATACATAGACTCAAGCGCCGTAGAAGCCTTGAAAGATCTGTACGAGGAGTACAAAACAAGGGACATTCAGGTTACCACCTTCATTTAGCAACTTGCTTCTTCTTGTTTTTCGAAACGGATGTGATGTTTGTGTTGGTTTTCAATGGAGCAGCTTGCGATTTCGAACCCGAATAAAGAGGTTCTATTGACTCTGGCAAGGTCAGGCATTGTGGAGCTTATTGGCAAAGAATGGTACTTTGTGAGAGTACACGATGCTGTCCAAGTCTGTCTTCATTACGTCGAGAGCAAGAACCAGACACCAACGACTGTTGAAGAGAGCAGCAGTTCAAGTTTATGGAGAAGGTGTAGTGCGAGAAACGCTTCACATACTGAAGTTGAATCGGATCCTAACCTTGTTTTAAAGGAGCCATTGTTGTTCAACGAAAAATAAGACATTCAGCTTTACGATATATGTACATTGTTATCAAATAAAACATTCAGTTGTGTAGAAAAAGTGATTACCATTTCTCTTTCAGTATCAATCTTCTTATGGATTTTTTTGGCCTAGTCATTTGTAGGCTCTTCAATCTCATTACACATATTTTCTTGAGATCTCTGTATTAAGATTTATTTTCACTTTAATAAAATCTAAATCTTTGATTCAAGATCGTATTCTTGTCTTAGAGTCACTACTCACTAGCTAAGACAAACTAAATTTCAATTTTTTCATTTACATAGAGAGAAAGTGGTGATGCATGCATGACTCATTGATTCTTGCAGATTTAATACTCTTTTGGTTTTAATTTATTTTTTGTTGTAAAGTAACATTTTTGTTTTAAAATAAATGTCGTTTTATAAATTCAATATAAAATTTATTATTTTATATGTTATTCTATTTTTTAATGGTAGAAATGTGATTAGATATATAAGTAATTGTCTTTTTATATCAAAAATATGCAAAATTAAATATATTTTAATTTATATGCATAAACCTAAAAGGATAGTTAAAATGAAACGGAGGAAGTAGTAATTTTTTTCTTTTTCAAATCTTAAACAAATTGTAAATAAATTTGAACATATTTTCGTATAAATAACCAATCATGTTTGATAGTATTTTTTTGTTAAAAATCATAAACAGAAAGTAACTGCAAATACCCCCATTTATATATAGAACTAAACCCTCTCATATATTTTTAAGCAAACGTTATAGTAAATAAGTTTTTCTATCTTAAAATTTCTCTAATCTTTTGTACTGTTATCCTTCCTAAATCTAATGATGCTATCATAATTGTAGTAAAATTATGGTGTTGATATCACTATTATGCTTATGAATTTGTTCATAGTCATCATTAATTATATGGAGTGATTGGTTCAGTTTTAAGTGTTGCCTTTAGCTTTAGTTTTTATCTATAGCAATTAAATCATCAACCATGATTTATTTTATATTTTAAAGCTACAACCAAAAACTAAAAAAATTGCTGTAAAATCATTATTTTCAAAAGTTACATTTTTTTGCTGTAGAAAATATGTTGTTGTAGCAATAAATTTTAAAACTACATCTCTTACAGCTAAATCAAAAAGTTCTACAAACTAATTTCTACAATAAAATTTTTACAACTATAGTTCAACCAATCATCTCCATGATGTTCTAAACAAAGCATTGCAGTGTTAAAAAATAATAAAATAAAAATAAAATATAAAAAACAAAGCCTTGGTGTGATTAGCAATGTTCTCAGTTCTAAATGCGTTTGTATGAAACCAGTTAGGTTATAATCAATTTATATAACCTAAATTTTTAGTTAAACTGTTTAATTATAATTAAATTAAACTATTTTCAAATTTCTGAAAATTAATATTTTTAAATAGTTGAGTCATCTATAAATTAGCACGTTTAATGTAAGGAAAATTTCTAAAGAATATATATATCTAAAACCTACTAGAGCATCTGGACATGTGCCTACGCTCTTGTAGATGTGTACAAATTAAAATATTAAATTGATGAATCTGAGTCTGGTTTGATCCCACCGACAGCGTAATAGGCAAATCTGATATTGTTAAAAATAAAATAATCAATTTGCCGACTGAAAAAGACTTTTATATTGTTGTTGACTGCACCTTATAAGCAGAATCAGAAGCTCACATTCCAAAACCTTGTTCAACGCAATCAATCAATGGCGATCATCGAGTTTCTGCCTAAAGAGTATGGATATGTCGTTCTTGTCCTCGTCCTCTACTGCTTCATCAACTTTTGGATGGGCTTTCAAGTCGGCAAAGCTCGCAAAAGGTTTCCCACAAATCTCCTAGCTCTTGATCTCTATTGATTTGTATTGATTAGACTAGGTATGGAACCCGTGTATATAAGATAAGAATGTCTGTTTTTGATTCGAAAAAAGTTTTCCTGTCACAAACATAGGCTGCATACAATTACATTTCATAGGAAGTAAGGATGTATATTTTGTTTTGCAGGTTTTGATTATAATTAAAATACAAATACGTAAATACGAATTAAGATATCTGTTAGTGTAGGTAACTTATTCTTAAATCTCGATAACAATTTAAGATATTTTAAACTAATTCTTTTTGGAAACAAATACATTCAAATCTAATTATTTACTAAATTTTTTAAATTAAAAGATCTTGTCCAGTAATACTGTATACTAGGATAAGACCCGCGTCATGCGCGGGATGAAGTTATTATTTTTATTATGTTTTGGAAAATGAAACAAAAGTTCAGTTTCATCTAGATTAAAGATGTTCGATATCCAGTTCGGGTTTCAGTATTTTGGTTATTAAAATATAACTACTATTCTAAATCCATATTTACTTCAATTTGATTTGGTTTATATATTGGTTTTCAGTTTATTCAATTTTATACCAAAATAAATCATGATTTAGTTTGAAATCATATTATATATTATAAAAATAAATAATATGATCATATTTAGAGTCATATTATTTATCTAATAAAATGATCAAATCTAGAATTAACCATATACAATATATACAAAATCACATACATTCGGTTTGTATGGTATATACAAAAAATAACCATATTATCGATTGTGTTAATATCTTTTAAAAAATAGAAAATTTTTCAAAAAAGAACTAATATATTTAAATCATTGATAACAAAAATTTTCAATGTGAAAATTTTAATACGTTTATAATTTATAAATGTTCTTGAAAATTCATTGAATTTTTTGAAATTAAAATAAGTATGTAATCTTATATGGTATATAGTTTAATCTATATATATATATATATATATATTTTTATTATTGAATGATACTTTTTACTCATATGGTTTTAAAATCATGTGTATCTTTTTATAATAAAAATGTTAAACTATTGATCATTATTTTTTAACAAAATAATTTTAATAGTTTTAGTCATTTATTCTTGGTTTTTTAAATTCAAAATATAACATATACGAAAAAAATCTAAAGTTTTTTATAGCTAACTTGATTGTTTGATTTATTTTAATAATATAAAATTAAAGAAAAATGATGGAGGAGATACAAATTGTTATCAAATATTTATTATTAGAAACATTAATTGTCATATATATATATATTTGTCATTTATGGTAATTCCGTAACTTTTATTTAAGGAAAGAAAATAAAATAGTAATTATATCTAGCAGGACAATCATAAATGCTTCTATCATAAATATCATATCATATAGTTTGACCAATAAATATATATAGCGACATAAAAAAATCGAATGTGGACCTACTTATTTTTCAATTGAATGTAATTGACTACCTAATTGAGTGACACGTAAGCATGAATTCTTTTTTAATTATTACAAAATTGAGGTTACAATTTTTCAAATGTTTCTCAATTAATATATAGGGGATTCATGAGTTGTTGAAATGAGTTGTTTGAAACCGATGGTATGTATAATCAAAAAAATAATTACATGATATAGTTAAAAATCTAAGATTTAAGAAAAAACATAGTTATAAGTGGGGGTGAATCTTTATAAATGAAAAATGATGAGATATATTTTAAAACTTAGAGTTTGCAGACTTGTGGTAGTTTGATAGTATAATTATATTTTCATAAAAATTAATTTGTGACCAGTCACTTAGTTAATTAAGTAGTAGAAGTTACTTTTTAGAGTTCATAAGAAAATATAATATACCATTGTAGTTACATACATCATTTCATAACTTGACAATCTTTCACATTCAAAACTTTCTTCAAAGCAATCCATTAGAATTTATATTATCATTTCACGATCTTTTAACACCACTGCATGTGAAAGATACATATATAATTGTAGATACACTGATACACACATCGTTTAATAATTTGACAACTTTTAAAAATTAATTTCATTTTTATAATGAAAAGATACAATTTTTACATTGATTGATATTACTATTATTAATAGATTGGGGACTTCTCTCTATGTTTTGTGACCGGAGATCTGTGTAATATATCTTATTTGTAACTGTTTGCGTTTTATGTTCTGTAATCTTTGATGCAGGTACAATGTGCAGTTTCCAACATTATATGCTATAGAATCAGAAAACAAAGATGCTAAGCTCTTCAACTGTGTTCAGGTTTGAAATTCGTGTATGCGTTTCTGTTATCATATCTGCATACTTCTTTCAAAGCCAGACTTGTTAAAACTTTAAACTTTTTGGCTGTAGAGAGGGCATCAAAACGCTCTAGAGATGATGCCAATGTACTTTATGCTAATGATACTTGGTGGGATGAAACACCCTTGCATCTGTACTGGCTTGGGTTTGGTCTACAACATTTCTCGATTCTTCTACTTCAAAGGTTACTCTACTGGAGATCCCATGAAGCGCCTCACAATTGGGTGTGACTTTTTTCTTTTTTTTTCTTAAATCTTTTCAACTTGTTAATTATCTATATCCTCTGATTTTTGTAAACTCTATGTTGTTACAGGAAATACAGTTTCTTGGGATTGTTTGGTCTCATGTTCTGTACCATCTCCTTTGGTGTCAGTGTGATCCGCGGTTAGGCCAGTCATCCTTTGTGAGGTTGATGGTTCTATGGACTTTGGATCCGGTCCTTGTGAGTTAGTTGTCTACAGACTTATGTAATAATGAGTTCGTCAGGTTGTTGCTTACGGAACTGTTTTTCAAGTTGTAATAAAATCACTATTTCGGTTTCGATAAAAAAATTCAAAAAGAAGTTTTAAATTTAGTTGAAAAACAATTGAAAAAATATTTTCTTAAATACAGACACACATTTCCTTTTTATTAAATATGTTTTGATAAACCGCAAAACAAACACCAAATGAAAACAAATAATATTTTCACATTTCCGAATCTTTTTGTTCAAAATAATATAACCATTTTCAATTTGAAATTATATGCTAACGTAACGCACAAGCAAACAAGACAATAGAAACATTTAATAAAGGATGTACGAGGTCTTTATCCAAAAAGCATTTAAGTTTAGTCAAAAAATGATGTACGAGAAAAAAAAGAATAAAATTATGATAAAATACAAATACAAATTCTGAAATAACATTAGTTAAAAATATATTTTAGTATTATCGTAGAGAATTTCTCGACAAAAACGTAACTTATTGACCATTTGGGACTATAATACATGCTTTTCTATAAGAGAGATCGGCTAAAAAAATAGTGAACTTTCAAATTTAGGTCAAAAAAAGTTTGCACTTATGTTTAATTTTTTTCAATAGTCAACTTAAATTCTAAATTTTGTTGACTGGACAAAATCAAATCAGAAACTCAATTAAGTCCACGTTTAAATCATTAAATGTCTGTTAAGTTACAAAACGACGTCGTTTTGTATATCTTCTTTTTTTAATCTTTTTTCTTTTTCTTTTCTTTCACGACACAAAAAATCTGCAAATCAAAATCCTAAATTGAAAACCCTAATAAATTCAAATTGGTTTTGTTTTTTTCTTCTTCTTCTTCTTTATGAATGAAACTTTTATTTTGCTCTCTAATGAATTGAAATTGGTTTTAGAAAACGAAACAAACTTTGACAAAAAACACTAAGTGAAACCAAGTTTTAAAAATCATCAGTAGCCTTAATACATGACTAGTTCACAAAAAAAGAAACACAAAGTGAAGCTGAAACAAACCAGTATTAGTACTACACGCTAGTTGACACTAAAAGAAACACAAATCCGATGAAATACATTATGAAAATTATTGTGGAAGACAAAAGAAAAATACACAATGTCAAACACATAAGCTTGTCAATATCACACTTGCGAGGGTCGAGATGGCTCTTGAGAGAGTCATTGAGAGAGTCCTTGTGCAGGTCCTTGTGAGGGTCCTTGTACTTGAGAGTATTCTCCCTACAACATTAAACCAGAATAGTTAATCATAACAATAAGATAAACAACTTGATAAGAGAATAAAGACACATGAATCACACATACCAAATCCTTTCTTAGCCGGCCTCTTGGCCTTTTTGTAGCACTCTCAACTGCATCATTAGGACAAGTCACCTTGTTATGACCTTCGACATGACAATTTGAACATGTGATGACTCTCCTATCTCGTGTCATCTTGGTAGCTTTGGATGAAGTTTCATTATGGTCTTTCTTCCTAGCATAGTTACTTGGTATTCCACGGTTCCCTACTATAAATGGTGGTGGAAAAACTCCTAACCTATTTAACCGAAGCCATAACTTCATACCTTCGACAGGTCTAATCCCACGGGTGTATGTTTGTCGCCACTTCTGAGTTGTGTAATAGCCAGAAACATAATCTTATGTCCTAATCTTCTTGGCACTAATAACACAACTACCATGGATACAAGGGATTCCAGTGAGCTGCCACTTTATACACCCACATGTTTTGATCAGATCCATGTCCACACGATAAGAAACATTATGGTCATCAATCTCATGCACGTTCCCACAAGCAATATACCTTCTACATTCTTTAGCTTTATCTTTGTTGAGCTCAATATCAGTGTGCACCTTCTTAGTGAAATGTATTTTCAACCTATTTGCAAGAATAGCTCTCTTAGCGTGATGAACCATACATTGCCTCCTAATATCCTCTAGCATGTCTAGTAATGGTTTTTTCCTTGCTTCCCTAATAGTTTTATTGAAAGAATCACAGAGGTTGTTGAGGTTGTCGTTGTAAAACGACCCAATTCGAAAGAATGCCCTACTCCATGTTCTCGGGTTTTGCAATTGAAGAGTGTCCCATGCACCTTTGTTATATTTCTTCAGTACCTCTAAAGCGTCTTCAAACTCTCCTATGGTGTAGCAACCAGCTATTACCCAAAACATACGCTCTAACTCAGGATCCTTGCTGTCTCTTTTCTAATTTGACAATATGTGTCTTGCACACATTCGATGTTCTGCTTCTGGTAGTTCATTTTTAACAGCATTCACTAAGCCCTGCATAAATTATTAGTTAGAGACATTCACTACATTTTTATTGAGAAAACAAAATAAATTAAAATTCTAACCTTTTGTTTGTCTGAAATTATGGTGAATTTGGGCCATCTTCTAATCCCAAATCTTCCTTCAACAATCTCACAAACCACTCCCAGTTTATATTATTCTCGACCTCCACAACAGCCCAAGCAATTAGAACTATTCTATTATCACCATCTCTTCCAACAGCAGCCAATAAGTGTCCTTTTATATCCCATTTGAGAAAGGCTCCATCTAAACCAATGATGGGTCTACAAGTTTCAGTCCAGGTCTCTCTTTGAGCTGTTAAACACATGTAAAGACGATCAAATCTTTGTTTGCTCCCAACCACAGGCCCTGGAACAGTCTCGATCTTCATAGTGGAGTACTGATTAGATTTTAGGATTTCAGCTTGATAGTCCCATATCCGAGAAAAGTGAGCTTCATGGCTGGCTTTCCTTTCTCTATAAAGCTTAGCTTTGGCTTTTCCACACTGCTCTTCCGTGACAGTAAGATTATATTCTCTCTGAATCTCACTCGCCATCTTTGTCCTAGTAAATTTAGGATTTTTTCTTAGTCTTTCCTCAAAGAGCATCGCAATAGAAGAAGTCTTCAACATCTTCGAGTACACTTTAAAATCTGATGCACATCCATACGTTTTTCCCAAATACAAAAGCTCTTCACAACCAAGTGTATTTGCAACCTCTTCTCTACGCTCATACTCTTCTTCATCGTCATTAGATGACAATGGGTCTGGGATTTTATCATCATCCCAAATATCATCACCACTGTCTCCATCACTAACGTCACCGTCGTTGCGTGCATCATCTCCAAAGTGAACGCTTAAATCCTCGACAAGTTCTTCTTCTACAGCAATACCATTCCGATCACCCTCATTCTCACCTTCATTATCACCTCCTTCACCGCTTTCTTTCTCTAGCTCATTCGTAGTTTCTACAGGTTCTCTAACACTTGATCCTTCTGCTATCTCACTACGAAGAGCCCGAACTAATCCCATCGTCCTAGCCATAAAGAGATTAGAGAATTGAGAGATTATAGAATTAGGGTTTTTAATTTGGGATTTTGATTTGCAGATTTTTTTTGTCGTGAAAGAGAAGAAGAAGAAGAATAAAAGATAATAAAAAGGAAGATATACAAACGACGTCGTTTTGCAACTTAACAGACGTTTAATGATTTAAACGTGGACTTAATTGGGTTTCTGATTTGGCCCAGTCAACAAAATTTATAATTTCAATTGGCTATTTGAAAAAGATTGGAGCTTTTTTTGGCTTAAACATAAGTTCAAGTGTTTTTTTGCCTAAATTTGAAAGTTCACGATTTTTTTGGCCTTTTTCTCTTTTCTATAATAAATATATATTTCATTTTATCTTCTCCAAATGGGCATCTTACAACAATTTACAACATAGATTCAAGTAAAATTCGGTAGTACCATTAACTAAGTAGGATTCCTTGGACTACACTGCCAAATTGTGGGAGCAACTTCAGATCCTATGTCGCCTTGTCCTTGTTAATTCGGTTAGGAGAATAAGGCTTCCCACTCTCCTCCATATCAAAGTTATTGTAGTCAATGAAGGGCTGAGAGAAAAGGAGGAACAAGAAACATACCTGATGGCTTCAGTAACCAAATGCAAAAGGTGCATTCTTCTCACTGAGCCTAGAACAATGGGTTCACTTTCTCCTAAGCACCAACTTTTTTTCAGAGTCAAAGTTCGAACCTTGCATTAGTTCATGGTTAAAATGGGTGTTGATAATTTGGATGTAACCCAACTGTCACATACATAGACTCAAGCGCCGTAGAAGCCTTAAAAAAATTGTGACATTAATGAGGTATCATCATCCTTCATTTAGTAACTTGCTTCTTTCTATTTTTTTTTTTTTAATTTGAATTTAAGAAGTTCTGGGAAGTCCATAATCTAATTTCGGATTGGATCAAGAACCGGTTGCTAAATTACTTTCCCGCAGCTCTTGAGACTCGAGCCTGGCAGCTCTGGGTGCTTCTTCTAATTTGGGAAACCTATGTGATGATTGGGTTGGTTTTCAATGAAGTAGCTTTCAGTTTTGAAGAGGTTCTCTTTAATCTGGCAAGATCCGGCATTGTGGAGCTTATCGACAAAGAATGGTACTTTGCGAGCATACACGATGTTCTGTCTTTATTGCGTTGAAGAGAGTAGCAGTTCAAGCTTATGGAGAAGCTTTAGAGCGAAAAAATCATCACATACTGAAGTTGAATCTGATACTAGCCTTGTTTTAAAGGACTCTTTGTTGTTCAACTAAAAACAAGACGCCAGTTTGTTGCTCGAACGGCGGTGGTTTGTGGGTCCTTTCGTCTCTTCTTAGCGTCTTGAAGTGTCGATGCCGTTCATTCTCCATCTTGGAAGCTTCGGAGGCTCAGTCTAGCTCGGGGCCGAGCTTAGCTGTCGACGCCGGTGTGTGTTGGAGTTAGCGGTGGTGGCTCGTGGAGTGAAGCGGTGATGCGGTGTCGGTAGGAGTCATTTATGGTTTCTCCGAGGCATTTTCGCGTCCTCTCTTTCAATCGTTCCTCTCTTCCCTTCTTCAGGATTCAGGTTCACCGGTGATGTATTGTTGACTCGTTTTCCCGGTGTGTGTTAGCTCTTGGTTCATTTTCTGTTGTTCCGTGGCACCGGTTCAGCTTTTAGCGACATATTGATACTCACACTTCGGTTCTCATAGTCGGCGCGTGGCGGGGTTTCTGTGGTTTCAGGTTGTCGTCTTTTCTCACCCTCTCCTCGGTGTCTCCTTGCGGAAAATCAGCGCATCCCAGTGCTGTGGGTTCACTTGAATCTTTGGCAGTGT